ACAGAGGGTATTTCAAAATGGATCCTTATCATTGGACAGTTATTATTGATATTCAAATACCTCCTTTTTTGTTAGGCTTCTTTTCTATTAAGCATACGGATATTATGTCATCATTATTGTGACTGTTTAATGTACGTTAAATATTTATGATATTTTTTAATTATCTTTACCTAAAAATTGTTTAATATTTAAATACAGTTCCTAAGCTCTCTTACAAAGAATGTAGCAGTACAAAGATCTAACTTCCGAAGAAAGAAAAGAAAGAAAGATCCGAAGAAAGCAGCCTACGTTGGAAACCTTTTACAATTATTACAAAAGGAAAACAGGATATTGTGTTGGAAGGGCACCTAACTACGTCACAATGGCACGTGCCGCGAACACGTTGCGACTCTAACCATGTTTCAGAAGTCCACGTGCGACCGGATCGCCTGTGCTTATAGTACCTAGTAGTTTTATTCAAAGGTTTCCTCCTACGAACGTGTCAAGTAGTCGAGGCTTTTTAGTGTTCATGCTTGCTTCTGAAGCTAATTCGAAGTTAATCACATCACAATATCAGCCTATAAGTGCCAACTGCTAAGAAATGGTGTATGGGGTTTGAGCGATAATCGCCACGTTTGCTGAAGGGGATAGTCGGTCTAAAGTTCTTATAATTAGAAGTTATAGGCTCGTCACGATGATTTTGTTTGTTATTTCCCAGCTTTCGGAACTGCCACTTTATTTGCCGCGAAATAATTCGAAATTATTAATAAAAAATTTAAACTGATTTATTTTTGAAAGAAATTTAATTGGTGATAATTCAAATACATTTGATTTTTATCGGTATTCAATAAGGAAGGCTGTAAGAACTCTTGAATTTAATTGATTCTTAATAAAATAAAGTGTTAAAATAAAGAAATCCTTCTTTTTAAAATAAAAGTTTTGATGTAATTTGGCTATTTCATCATAAATTTCAACAAAGAAATCCTTTTTTAATTGAAAATATTGAATAGGACACCCCCATTCTACGACCACGTGTAAAATATTATACCTTTATATCCTTGGCGTATCTGAGATTTTCTAGAATATTTTTGATATACAATCAATCACAAATCAAGCTTTTAGTGACAATAAATGAAAAGTATTTTATATTGTTACATCAATATCATCGTTTTAAAAATAGACAGCATTCATCTGAATGTCAACGAACAATTCTAATAATACATTTAGCGTGTCCAATCCGTAATATATTTATCCGCGTCTATTTTCAACATTTAGGTCAGCCAAAGATCAAATGTAGGTATTTCAATCAAACTAAACTTGAAATCAATACAAAAATAAGTACGATCTGACCCTAGAGTTACTGGCCAGATTTATTTGGATTTTCAAATAAATGTCAGCAGTTTAAATGAGTATTCGAAAATCGAACAATTTAAATATGGAAACGAAGAGCAGCGAAGCAACACGTTCAATTTGAATGTATGTACATCTTTTTTTTTTTCAAATTGTGGAATTTTTAAGTAACAAAAATAACAAAAAGCATTAAGTGTTCCCACTTCTTATTCTCGAACCACCATAAATAGAAATAAAAAAATAAATTCCAATAAATCTAACGACTTATTTTACAGCTATTGTTTTATAGCACTGATATAGACCAGATATACTTATATAAATAAATAGATAGATTTAGTACGGAAGCTTAAGTTTTATGTCTAGACAGGCTGACGTTTATTACATTCTTCTATTGTCCGTATCGAACTATATGTCTCCACTCAACCTGCTACTGAATCAGACAGCGTGACTACAGAGGTTTTATGATAAAAGTATAAATTACTTCGTGGACTATGGTTTGTTAAACACGTGAAGAATTGAAGATCAGTCGTCACCTCGGGCTTTGTATTAGACTTGATTATCTATGCTAAATTATGTTCGAGAAAATGTTTTTTTACATTGAATACATTTGTTTTCGTTATTTAATTTTATTGATGTATTTATGTTATTATATTCTAAGTATATATCTGATTGATGTGAAGATTGTGCTTATAATAACTTAATACTTTAGAGTCAAACAGGTGTTATTTAGTTAGAAATTATTTATCAAAAAATATTTTACGAATTTGTAAATTAGTCAATTATAATAATCTATGCTGTCAAACAATACATCAAACACCGTACATACCAAATCACTTTAAAACAACCGCAAACACACAATCGATATACACCTTTGTTTTGATTTCGTTCCTCTTACATTTGCCAAAATTCTGTGACTTACACTTAAGGGAATAAAATTTCATATCACATCACATATTGTTTAATGTTTAGAATATCGTTTGAAATGGTCATTTTGTGTTGTGGTTGTAGTAATGATTGATGTTTATGTCAGTAGGCCGTTGCAGGTTATGTTTAGTGCGTAGGGCGGCCGCGCGCGGCGCTTTCGGCGGCCGGCGATGGGCGACTGAGCGCGCTACGAGGGCGGCCGACCCGCTATGCTATCCCGTGCCTACACCTCACCAAAAATACAACTTTCCGGCTCCTTCGTAAATATTCGGCTTTCGTTCCGAGACAGCAATAGAATTTTCTTTGACAAGCCAAGCGTTCATGAATCAAGCAGCAAAAAAATAACAAAATAAAATAATGGTAATAAACTTAAACGGAAGTGTTATCAAACTAATTAGAAGCGTTTAGTTGAAGGCACAAGATTAATTGTCTTACATGAATGAAAATGATTAATGATGGCTGGAAATTAATAATTCCATAGTTTGACCCAATAATCTTGTATCTACATATGTATATAAATTAGGAAAAAGCTGGGCAAACTTTATTAACATAAACAGTTCAATTCGAACGGGCCGCTGTAAATAATGATAATTTAAAAGTATTCTTTTTACTTAGATCTTAAAGGTGAATTTTGTGTGGCATAAATGATTTACAAAGGGTATTTCAGTACATTTACATTTTTACGTGTAAGGCACTCTTATTGTTCGCGTCAAACGATGCTGGAGGGAAAGCTTTTACGGGATAGTGTTCTAGGCACAGCGTAGGCTCTTTGCTTGCAAACTGTTTGAGTGAAACTGTGTTGAGATATCGGTGGCCGTTTGAATATAAAGCTACCTATAGCTGTTTGATTAGTGATTTTAAAAACAACTCAGAAATGGGATCGACTTCGCTTCTGTCCTGTGCAAATCGGATAAGAATGGTATATAATATCTAATGATTTTTAAATAATTGTCTCGTTGATAGATAATTCTTAATTGTTCGTTACTAGATATCTATACTAATATTATAAAGAGATAAAATTTGTAAGTTTGTATGTAGAAGGTAATCTTTAGAACCACTGGTCGGATTCCTAAAATTCTTTCACTTATTGATAGCTACAATGTTCCCGAGTGCTATTGTAGGCTATAAAACATCACGCTACAATCAAATGGAGCCGAGCAGCGAGTGAAACCGCGCGGGAGTAGCTAGTAATGCTATAAAATAAATTTTCGAATTTTGTGTTTTTTAAGCATATGTACATCTATTTAATAAATTATTTTTTTATTTAAGGTATAGTACCTACTTACCTAGGTATGCGTTTAAAGGGGCTAGCCTAGTAGTACCAGGATAACCGAACTTTACTAAATATTTTTCTAGCTATAATTGAAACCTAGCTGAATTGATTTTTAGTCCCCGAAATCTTTTGAATTCACATCGAAAAATATATTGAACAAGCTTCCGCCCATCGCTTCACCCGTGGAGAATATTGATAAAAAGAAGCCTATGTTTTTTTTTTCTTTTTTAAAACTTTGCCCCACATTAGGATATTCTCCTGTGTCGTGGGTGCGGTTACAAACATACAATTTCACATACACATGACACCCAGACCCGGAACAACACTTTGTGGATCACACAAAGAGTTGTTCCGTGCGGGAATCGAACCCGCGACACGTTGCACGGCAGCTAGTTGTCCAGCCACCGCACCAACCGTGCACTCGCCTATGTATGAATCATCATCACATATCTACATACCAACAACCAAATCGGTCTAGCCGTTTTAGCGTTAAAGAATAACTAACATACATCCATACATTATCACAAAATTACTTTACAATATTATACATATTAAGGTAGTATAAGTAAGATACATATATTAATATATAGACATAAATTGACATGTATATACATAATATATTATTAATGTTTTATTTTAGTTTATAATGGCACACGTTTAATTATACAGCATTAGAAAAGTACACACATACATAGGTAATTTAGCAATCTAAATGTCCATATGTTAACTTATTTAGTAATATAATTAAGCACATAAATGGTTTCTATATACCTAGCTCTCGATAGATTCAGTTTGGCGTAAAGCCAGTGGCCGCAATACCTATACGAAAGTGTTCCAATTTTATTAACTTTAAACCAATCGCGTTTATTTGGAGAATGGTTTTAGGCTTTATTTACTGAACCTTATGGCACAAAAAGAAATATAAATACAGTAAATAGTACGTATGATAGAAACTATCAAATAATACTTAGGCGTTTAAGCCTTCATGAAACACAATTAACCTTATGAATGCGTAAGGCTAGGTAGGTATATAATACTCACATATGTATAGTATAGATACAAATTTATCTGGATATATACCTACATACAGAAGGGCAGTTTTTAATTAAGAATAGTTCCAGTGGTGGTTGTCTGAAGATAGGTTGTATATGAAGGCAGTTTAATCCTTGAGAGCTTTAAAAGGATTTTGTACTTTATTATCTTATGATAATATCGAAAATCACTTGTAGACAATTCAAGGGGTAATTTTAAAACGGCTCTCAACGACATTAAAACAGCTCCGAAATCACGTAACGAGTATAAGCCTTCATTACCTAATCCATATTAAGTACCAACGTAATTCGATGACTGCACATAAAAACCGGCTCGAGCACTAAAAACTTTATATGCTTCATAAAAACCTAATCAGTTGCTTTCTTTACTCTTTTAATTATGCATTCTATTCTCACTAACTACGCAATCTCAATATGATGGAAAAAGATTTTCGAATTCTTTTTATTTTAACATTTTTCTCTGTGAATTTGTACAGTGAAGCTAAGCATAGGCTAAAAAATAAAGACTTTGGACCTAACATTGTTGGTGGGAAACCCGTGTGTGCTGCAAAATATCCACATTCAGTACTGTTCTTTAATGCAGGCAGTTTGTGTGGTGGAGCCATTTTAAATAGTTGGGCAGTTATAACATCAGCTCATTGCATAGATTATAATACTGATATTAATGAAATGATAGTACAAGTTGGTGAGTAATGTGAATGTTTATTTTGGACAGGGCAAAATGTTGCGTTCTCTTGACTACGAAATACATTGGATGCGAAGAACTCAAGATTGAGCTCACGGGTGAGTATTGGTTAGGCCCTAGTAAAGCAGTGGATAAAAAGGGAAACCAGACAATTTTAGTATTTTTAACAAAAGTAGTTAAGAACGCAGGTACTCATGAAATTTTAGTTTTATTGAAAAACTTTTAGTATTATCATAAGATTTTATTTTTTTAGTCATGAATAAAATAATTCTTACAACAACTTTGTAGACTAATTCATTACTGTCTAGTAAATTCTTCAATAAAGTTTCACACATGTTTTTTTAAATCGCCTGTTTCTCCAAGTCTGTATAAGCTCCCGATGAACATATATGACACTTAGTGCATTCAAATTACGTTCTATATTGAAATTGATCTGGTACTTAGTGACTACACAATACATTGTAAAACAATTTTTTTTTGGAGACAATATAATCATCTAATGTCTTTATTCCCGCCCTGGGAAGTGAGAGGGATCATTGACTATTCCACCACCGCCTTCCTTCTTCTGCTCCAAGCCCAGCCACGGTACATCTTTAGCCTACATCTGCAATACGGCAGTGTTTCTGGTCTGATTATGGCCTTGCTCGCCATCCGCCAGCCGCGCGCAACACGGGCTCTAAATCTTAGTTACTTTTTTTTGTGAGGGGCAAATCATCAGATGACTTCTCCCGCCCAGGGCCGGGCGGGAGGGAGTGTCAGACTCTTATTGACTAAAAACCCTCCTGTTCCTTTTCCTGCTCTGGGCCGAGGTCGCGGAGCCTCATTGCGCTTACCCCGCAACCCCGGCTGAACATCAGCCCTTTAGGGCCCCGTCTGTGGTGGCCTATCGACTCTTTGAGGCGCGCGCGGAACGCTACGCGCCGTACGCTCGGACCTTAATCTTCGTTACTAAAGACTAAATTGATGCATAAAAATGGTGTCAACTGAATCAGATTTCATATTCCATTTCATTATATGGGCAGAGTAAATCTACACCAAATGTGACTTCAGTGTTGCTAATAGAATCCCCACTTAGTCCGACGGGTAATAACTTTTGATTTATTGCCGTAACGAGGAGGGCTTAGGGAGCAAGTCAAACAACTTAAATTGCTTGCTCATTCTAACTTAGCAACCTAGACGATCTATGCGAAGTGAAGTTTAGAGCGTCCATTGCGTGACTTGAAACATTGACGCATTATAAACTGTTCATGTTTAAAGTTTTGTCTAACATTACTGCCACGATTTTTGTATCCCCATAGAACGTACACTTGATATGGCATAATGCGATATATGCTAGAAAATCTTTGCTTCAATTTAAGGACTGTGATATGTTTTTTTTTTTTTGTGAGGGGAAAATCATTAAATGACTTCTCCCGCCCAGGGCCGGGCAGGAGGGAGTGTCAGACTCTTACTGACTAAAAACCCCCCTGTTCCTTCTCCTGCTCGCCGAGGTCGCAGTACCTCATTGCGCTTACCCCGCAACCCCGGCTGAACATCAGCCCTTTAGGGCCCCGTCTGTGGTGGTCGAATGGCTCTTTGAGGCGCGCGCGGAACGCTACGCGCCGTACGCTCGGGCCTGGTTTTGGTCGGGCGGCGAGCTGCCCTTACTCGCCGACCGCAGGCCCGTGCTTACGGTGGCCGGAGATCGTCCCTCGATCCCCGACGCCCGTAGTGTCGCCAGTTGCGGCTGCTGGGGCGTGAGGAGGAGGATTGCTCCCTCACGCGGGCCGCCTTTCTCTTTGCGAGCTTGACTGCTTCACAAAAGGAGGAGACGGCGTCCCAGTTCCTCTCACTCTGCACCATGGCCTAGATTAAGGCCGGGCGCGAGAGGTCGCCGCCGCCGATCACTTCCCTGAGGATACGGCGGTGCTCAGCCCAGGCAGGGCATACCGCTACCGTATGCTCCACCGTATCCTCTAGGTGGTCCTCACAATGACGACACTCGGGCGTTTCCTCCCGCTGGATCCGAAAAAAAGTTAACAAACTATTTGTTGTGGGTTCCTAATTCCTATCAACAAGTAACGTGTTTCGCTTAATATTTTTGTCCCAAAACAAAATGAATTTATCATATAAAATAAAATAAAATACCGTTAGGCACGCACTTAAAATGACAAATTAGATACTACTGGCCTCATTTATGTTATCCTTCGAAGTAAGGTCGAGGCCGATAAAATGACAAATATGTCCATTGAATTAAGGCCTAGTTCAATTTGTACAAAAAATCTTGTGATATTTAAACACCATATTTGACTTGACAACAAAACACATGTCTGCGATTAATGATAAAGATATTAGCTTTGCCAACGTTGATTAACGTATGTACATATATAACATTTTATAAAACTGACGTAAGAAAGTGATGAAATATTTTTTCACAACTTCTACAGGATCGAGACATATTTTGGACGTTAATGCAAAAAAATATAGATTACAGTGGTTCCTTGTTCATGAAAACTACAACAAGAGGATTCCTTTCGAGAATGACATTGCTATTTTATTTGTTGAGCACCCAATACAGTTCAGCAAAGTGGTTAAGAAAGCGATATTAGTAAACCACAACCGATGGATGAGCGCCAGCCAGACGAAGTTCTCTGTCACAGGCTGGGGCTGGCAAAAGGTACTTGTGCACATTACACAAAATTATCTCGGTGTATATATATGTAATATACATCAATGGGAAGTTAGGTAATAGGTAGTGCCTAATAATGTTACGGTGATTAGTTACCTTACTAAAGTAACATCATTTAGAAAAAATAACGAAATGAGCTGGTCTGAAAAACCTATTAACCACATATCATCATATAACCACAATATCTTGTAAGTTAGCCTTTCTACTACTAGTACTTTCCACTAACATAGTTCAATATTTTTTTTTATTATGAAATATTTGATATACTTATTATTTAAGTCTACAAACTAAGCTGGATCCGCTCAGTCTCCTAGTTGCGCTTTGACGCTAATTTCAATCTAGCAAGCCCGCTAGCCATAGTAAGATCTATGCAAGTTATAACGAAGTTCAGAGGCGGGATATTGTTTACCCGTAGTGTCTACGCCGGAACGCATCATTCTTCGTCGTGTATGGAACGCATCCGTAGCGCGAGCGAGAGGTTCGAGCTGCGCGCCTTCCGGCCACTGCCATTCTAATAGTCGCGACGAAAACACACTCAATTATTGTAAACTTATATTATAATTAGCGATTAAAGAAGTACATCTGCAAAGGGATCTACTTATTTATATCGATCATCTGGCGACCGTGCAAAAAGAAGAATAACTGCAATCTTCGGATAAACTACAAAAACCAAAAGGAGTTTGGTGTCAGCGCAACATGGCGGCGAACGCGAACGCCTAAAACAAACGACGACTACGACTATACATATATTATTTGGAAAGAAGACAAGTCCACCTGCGAGCTGCTAGTAAGGATACCTAGCCACCATGGGAAGTGCTCGTTTTTCCTCCTCCTTTCTTTTCCAACTGTCCGCTATCGGGTGAAAGTAATGTAGTCAATTCATTTGATTTAATTTTCTAAAAATTCGTCGTCCGCCATTTGTATGTTTCTATATAAAATTAAATTTCATTTTAGTTCGTCATGATTAGAAAGGTTGGTCATTTTCAAGTAATTTTTTCTTATTAAAATTTTAATATATGGCCTAACTTGGGTACTTTCAAGTCGATAATTTAAGCCTTAACTGTGATAGGCACTAGTACCTAGTTAAAACTAATATTTTGCTGCCTTGATACCCTGCCGCCCGTTCTTCCTACATTTATTTTTCATGCCACTCGGCTGAGCATTCTTATTTTCTGGTGTGTGTGACACGCGGCATGGGTTTGCCTACTTCTTGCATATTATGCACATGGGGGTTTCTTTGTTTTCACTGTAAATTTTAGCCGTCCTTATTTGCACCATTTTCTAGCTTGCTTTGCTTAGCTTTGCTTCATAAGATTTGCCGAACGTTTCCAGATTCGTATGCTTGGCGCGGCTGTGGGCATAAATATCCAGCCCGTTTTGCATTGCATGAGAGAAGTGCGCCTGTGCTGCATGTAGTATCCATCTACGCCGCGCCAGGTTTGAGCACTACTGGGACGCCGTGCAGTCTGCAATAAGGCGGTGACTTTCCTGTGCTACACACTGCGACTGGAGTAAGGAACAATAATTGGGTTAGATGCACAATTTATTTACCTAGTTCATTATATTTCCTTGTTAATATTTGTTGTGAGTGATTAAATTTAAAGATGTCTACTTCTAAAAGTACTGAACTAAGTACATTGGTTAGGCAACGTGGAAATATAAGAGGTCGTTTGACGACGCAAACACAATACATAAACACTCTCAAGTTAGTGGATTTCTCTAGTTTATCAAATGCACAAGTTATTGAAATTAAATTACATTTAAAAAAGTGTGAAACCTTATATAAAGATTTTGAGACCTTTCAAGACAAAATAGAATTACTTTGTGATGAATCTGAAATACAAGAACAGATAAATACTAGATCTACAATAGAGAATCAGTTCATTACAGCAATTTCAACCTTACAAGATATTTTAGAAAAGTTAAATCCGGTTAATGTCAAATCACAATTACCCTCACAATCTAATGAAAGTTCAGTTAAGTTACCAACCATTAAATTGCCTGTGTTTGATGGCTCATATTTGAAGTGGCTTGAGTTTAGAGATACTTATTTGTCTTTAATTCATGAGAATGCATCAATACAGGATATCAATAAGTTTCACTACCTGCGGGCTTCACTGGAGGGCAGTGCTAGTGAGGTTATAAAGTCATTAGAGTTTACATCAATAAATTATAAGATTGCATGGGATTTATTGTGTGCTAGGTATGATAATAAGAGAGTTCTCATTAATAGTCATTTAAAATCATTACATTTAATCAATCCCATCACAACAGAATCACATAAAGCATTGCGGAACTTATTGGATCATGTTAATAAAAATATGAGAGCGCTTAAGGCCCTTGGTATACCCACAGAATATTGGGATGTCCACATTATATTCATCATAACTATGAAATTAGATGCCACTACAAATATGAAATGGGAGGAATATTTAAGTAATTGTTCTGACAATCCAACTTTAGATCAATTTTATACTTTTATCCGTAACCGTGCTGATGTTTTAGAGAATGCTGTATCTCGTACAACAAATCATAGTGAAAGTTCGAGTAATTCTAACTCAAATAATCATAACAAAAAATTTTGGAATAATAATAATTCAGTTTCAAAAAATAATAAATCATTTGATAACTTAAAGATTTCGAGTCCTGTAGCATCAGGTGAGACTGTATGTGACTTTGTGTGTTTATGTTGCAATAAACAAGGACATCGCATTTATGATTGTCCAAAATTTAAAGATATGGATGTTCCCCATAGGGTAACGGAAGTTAAACGATTAAAAGTATGTCATAATTGTTTACGTGAAGGTCATAACTTTCAGAATTGTCGTCTGAAATCCATGTGTCGTCATTGTAAATATAGTCATAATACTTTGTTGCATTTAAATAAAAATGATAAGCACTTAGAAAATATTAATTCTACAGTTGCTTCACAGTCACAGACACTGCCTCCAGTTACACTGTCTGGCATCTCTAATAGTAGTCAAGTATTGCTGTGTACTGCTGTTGTATCAGTAAAAAATATGATTAATAATGAAACTTACCCTGTTCGCGCGTTGTTGGACAGTGGTAGCCAATCGTCCTTTGTGACTGATAATCTGAAAAGAAAATTAAACTTACCTGTTCACAATATTGAACCGCTCCGTGTCTCGGGCATTAATAATGTTGCATTTAGTATATCTGAACGTGTCACCTTAGGGATAGAATCAAGGAATAAAAATTTTAGTACTATGATAACATGTCTAGTAGTCCCTAAGGTAACAGGTACTTTGCCTAATTCTCCTGTTAATATTCTAGAACTAGACTTACCTCCCAATATTGAGCTTGCAGACCCATATTTTTATTGTCCCGCAGAAGTTGATTTACTGTTGGGCGCTGACATATTTTGGGATTTAGTAGGGTTCAAGCGTATAACTCTAGGTGTAGGTAGACCAGTTCTTCAGGAATCACAGTTAGGTTGGCTTGTAAGTGGGCCAGTGGGTATTTATAAACCTGGCCATGTTATTTGTAATTATACTCATAATATTAATGATAATTTACAGAAATTTTGGGAAATTGAAGAATTAAATTTAAAGATTAATATTGGCACACCTGAAGAAAGGTTGTGCGAGTCCCATTTTCAAGAAAATGTCAAACGCCTTAGTAATGGTAGATTTTCAGTAAAGATGCCTCTGAAGGAAATTCCTGAAGAAGCTCTTGGAGATTCTTTTTATTTAGCCAAAAAGCGTTTTTTATCTTTAGAGAATAAATTAAATAAAAATCCTAATCTAAAAGAACAATATTTTAATTTTATTAAAGAGTATCGTGACTTGGGTCATTTAACTGAAATACAGAGACCTAGTTTTGGTTATTATTTGCCACATCATGCTGTTTTAAAGGAAAAAAGTGAAACTACAAAACTCAGAGTGGTTTTTGATGCCTCAGCCAAAACCACTTCTGGTAAATCTTTAAATGATATTCAGCTTATTGGACCTGTGTTACAAGATGATTTAACTTCAATACTAATTCGTTTTCGATGCTTTAGATATGTAATTACTGGAGACATTCAAAAGATGTACAGACAAATTGAGATTGATCCCAGTCAGCGCCATCTGCAGCTCATATTGTGGAGGGATGATGAAGCAGGATCAGGTTCTGTGTCAGGACATCCACGGCCAATTAAGGTACTCCAATTAAATACCGTTACTTATGGCACGGCCTCAGCGCCCTACTTAAGCACGAGATGTATTCTTCAATTGGCTCGTGAGTGTCCTGACACTACCATATCTAACATCTTAGAGCATGATGTATACATCGACGACCTGACTACAGGCGCCGAATCTAAGGATTCTATAAAGCATATTTATAGTAGTGTAGAAAATGTATTAAATTCAGCTGGTTTTCCGCTACATAAAATTAGAACTAATTGTCCTGAAGCATTTCAGAATGACACTACAACTTCAGTTTTAGAATTAAATAAAGAATCGTCTGTTCTGGGTTTGAATTGGTCACCAGATACAGATACTTTACATTTTAGTACAGATTTAAGTAGTGATAATAATAAGATAACAAAACGTTCTATAATTTCACTTACCTGTAAGATATTTGATCCATTAGGTCTTTTATGTGCTTGTGTTATAAAAGCAAAAATAATTTTACAACTATTATGGAATGAGAAATTAGCCTGGGATGATCCAGTGCCATCTCACATAGCTAAAAAATGGTTAGATATAGCAGAAAATCTTAAAACATTGTCAGATATTATTGTAAACTTATATTATAATTAGCGATTAAAGAAGTACATCTGCAAAGGGATCTACTTATTTATATCGATCATCTCATTGTCAGATATTAAAATACCAAGATATGCATTATGTGATGATTTCTTTACTAATGTTGAATTACACTGTTTTGTAGACGCATCGCACGAAGCATACGGAGCGTGCGTCTATCTACGTTCTACGGATAGTAGCAATAATATTGTCATCAGGTTATTGTGCGCAAAGTCGAGGGTTGCGCCCCTGAAGGCCATGACCACCCCTCGCTTGGAATTGTGTAGTGCTTTGCTTGGTGCTCGACTGGTAGCAAAGGTACTTCAATCAATTCGTATTTCTATCACCAATACTATTATGTGGACTGATTCAACTGTCGTCCTGGGTTGGCTTAAGGCTCAGCCTAAACTTTTGAAAACCTTTGTTGCCAATCGTGTAGCTGAGGTATTAGAATTAACTAAAGGGTGTTCATGGCGACATGTTCCCACTGATTTCAATCCTGCAGATCTGGCCTCTAGGGGGGTTGTCCCTCAACGCTTGCTCGTGGAGCCCTGGTGGGAAGGACCTTCCTTCTTGAAGGAAGGCTCTTCTTCCTGGCCACAAACTCCACACTCTATAGTAGAGCTTCCAGAGCTTAAGGCGTATATGAACGCTGCTGAAGCCCCTGAAAATCATTTCATAAACTTTAAAGATTTTTCAAATTTTAACAGACTGAAGAGAATTTTTGCGTACGTTTTAAGATTTATAAGCAATATACATAATAAACATAACAAATGCACTGGTACGTTGCAAACAGTAGAAATAAACAAGGCTTTAAATCTACTTATTAAATTTAGTCAAGGTGAATGTTTTACAACTGAAATAAAGGCACTATCTTCTGGTCAACATTTAAATAAAAAATCGAAGTTATTACAGTTAAATCCATTTATTGATACAGAAGGCTTGTTGAGAGTAGGCGGTCGATTGGAGAACTCCTCCTATGAATATAATAAGAAACATCCTGTTATTTTAGATGGCAGGCATACTTTTACATCCTTGTTATTGCAACATGAACATCGCCGGCTATTTCACGCAGGTCCTCAGCTGCTGCTGTCCTCGATACGTGACTCTTATTGGCCTATCGGAGGTAGGCAGTTGGCGCGCAAGGTCGCAAAATCTTGTGTAATATGTGCTCGCTATCGCGGTAAGACTATTCAACCTATTATGGGAAATTTACCCGCAGTAAGGACAGAAGCAACCTTCCTCTTCTTTTCAAGTGGCACTGACTTTGCAGGCCCTTTTCTTATATCAAGTAAAAGGGGGAGAGGTAATCGTAAAACAAAATGTTACCTTTGCTTATTTGTGTGCTTGAACACTAGAGCTGTCCACTTGGAGGTAGTGAGCGATCTCACTACAGATGCTTTTATATTGTGTTTGCGTCGTTTCATCGCGCGTCGAGGTAAACCTAAAGTTTTATATTGCGATAACGGTACCAATTTTATAGGAGCAAATAATGAACTTGGTAAAATTTTGCGCTCCAGTCGTGAGTCTGTCACAGATTTTGCTACCTCTGAAGGTATAGATTTCGTTTTTAGTCCAGCTTATTCTCCTCATTTCGGAGGTATATGGGAGGCGGGTGTTAAGGCAGCAAAATATCATTTAGTTAGGATTGTTGGTAATCAATCATTTACTTTTGAAGAATTGACTACGCTATTTTCACAAATCGAAGCTATCTTAAACTCCCGTCCTCTTTCTCCTATCTCGTCCGATCCTTTTGACCTAACTCCCCTCACCCCAGGGCACTTCCTCATTGGACGGCCTCTGGTGTCATTGCCCTCGCATCCAGCAGACGACGGCAGACCGAAATACCACGCAATAACAAAAATTCGTGATGAATTCTGGGAGCGATGGCGAAAGGAATTCTTGGCGGAATTGCAATTGAGAACTAAATGGACGACTCCTCAAGCCAATCCTAAGGTCGGGGATATGGTAGTAATTAAAGAAGATTTTTCACCACCGCAACGCTGGCGCCTTGGCCGCATTTCACGTCTGCACCAGGGACCAGACAACGTGTGTCGAGTGGTTGACATTTACACCGCCAGAGGCACTATTCGCCGAGCGATCCACAATGTCGTTCGGCTACCACAAGAAGTTGAAAGTTAAACTTTCAAGGGCCGGAGGATGTCTACGCCGGAACGCATCATTCTTCGTCGTGTATGGAACGCATCCGTAGCGCGAGCGAGAGGTTCGAGCTGCGCGCCTTCCGGCCACTGCCATTCTAATAGTCGCGACGAAAACACACTCAATTATTGTAAACTTATATTATAATTAGCGATTAAAGAAGTACATCTGCAAAGGGATCTACTTATTTATATCGATCACGTAGCATTCAACTTTATATAGATAATAGGGGATAAAATCTTTTACATAGGACTCGGTAACATAATAGGAAGAAAGATCCGTTGCTAATAGCTAGTACTTTGTAATTAATGCTAAAAGTGTGGGCGGAATTCCTGTCTAGTTCGAAGCTAGTAAAGTTCGTCAACAGGGATAATTGATTGTCTTACTTGTTTTATGATAATATTGAAATACTTATTAGGATAGTAAGTTGTTTCATGCTTGCTGATAAATGTAGAAAAAGTAAAAGAGTCGTGAAATCTCTCTGCTTTACCCGATAGGGGGAGGCGGCGTGCCGATATGTAACCCCAAAGTGAAATCCAACTTCTTCTGGTATTATTTCAGTACGGCGGACCAATGTCAAAAAAGAATCTTATGATGGCCAAATTAAAATACGTTCCGCTTGAAGAGTGTAGTCGACTGCATAAGATGGAACTCTCTCCAGACATGTTCTGTCTTTATGGAGATGGACAAAGGGATACTTGTCGGGGAGATTCTGGTGGAGGAGTAATATGGCGTAGGTAAGAAAGTGTATTAATTGATGCAGACGGCATTGATAGCATGTAGGAGAATTGCGAAAAAAGTGATCTTCAAACCGGGGGATTAGGTATATTTATTTAGTTTCTTTTTTTCTAAAATTATCTGCTGTAATCTACTTAATAAACGTTAATATAAACGCAGTATATTGTTGTGTTACTACTTAATTGAAATAGCAAAATTGTAATAAATGATGAAACTATATTTAAATGTTGTTCAGCTTCTGTTTAAATGCCTTTGTATGCTTTAGATACCCCGATCTGGGAGACAAACAGTTTGTTTAACTCAGTTTACAAAATAAAATCATGTTTTATCATCACGAGGAGCAGTCACATGAATATAGATAAATATCAATATTTAAATTATATCACGCAATTCTAGTTTTAACACTCTTCTTGTTTCAGCCTATAAGCGCTTACTGCTTAGCAAAGGCCACTTCTCACACGGAGAAGGTTTGAGCATTAATCACCATGCTTGCTCAAGGCGGATTGGCAATTTCAAAGTTATAGTTTGAAATTTTGACTCCAGGTTTTCTCACGATATTCCATATAACTCGGAAAAAGTCACTTTAGTACTTGTCAGGTTTCGAAACCACACCCTCATGCACGAAAGCCTTTACCTTTACCTCATATAGTATAATTATAATGTTTATACTTATGTATTTTTTCAGGCAATTGGTAGGTTTAACGTCTCATGGTGATGGCTGTGGTAAGGAAAACAAACCAAGCATGTACACGAACCTGTGGTACCATAGAGACTGGATCAAGATGGAGTTGGCTAAGTTCGTAATATTTTACTGCCAACGACTGCAGAACAAAAGAATATCGCAGAACTTAACAAACAAAAGATGTAATCTAAAGTCAGCGTAAGATTACGTTCTTCTGTTTGGGAAATAAAATGGCCCTTTATACTATTGTAAGAATGACACAAGTAGAAATATAAATAGATAAATGAATAGTATTATTTTTTCTTTGTAAAGAAATCGAATATCACATTAATGTTTTTTCATTCCTGGCAAATAATATAATCAGTATTGACATTTGAAAGAGTTCGCCATTATCAAACTGCAAGCGTAGCTGCTGGAAGAAGTTGGTTCTTTTCTTGGTTTTCCTTAATAAATTCGCTGATTCTATTAAAGACTGAGCAAACACAATGTTTCTAAATGCAATTTTAGATATAATAGTGATTAAGTATCCAAAAATTGTAATTAAGATGTCTCAGTTACGATTATCTAAGTGTGGGAGATACATGCTTCAGTATTAATGTCGTCGGCTCGTCCGGACTATAGCCTCACAGGAAACCGACGTGAAACAACAACAGCTTAGTGTTGAAAGAAGAAGCCCAATTCTTCTTCCTCTTCCCCAGTCCTCTCTAATCTCTAAATCTCTGAAACCGCAATACACAAAAGGCTATCAACGCACTCGTAACTCCTCTGGTGTTGCGGGTGTCTATGGGCGGCGCCGAGTGCTTACCACCAGGTAATTTGTCTGCTCGTTTGCCACACTATAACATAAAAAACCTGGACGACTTTTCTTCAGTAACAGCACGGGACCAAAAATTGTCCCCAGGCATACCCTCTGTTACAAGGGACTTGATAACTTACATATTTATGAAATTGATATAACAGAGATGCACTTACCACTCCTATTTCTCCACCACCCAAAGGTAGACTGACAGAGAACGCCTAAGGCGTTAAGTCCACCATTGTACGTTGTGCAAGAGTGTAAAATAAATAAATAAATATAACATTATATTTTTATGTATATAAAAAAAATATAACTCAAGAACAGCTGAACCGATTTGGCTGAAAACTCATAGGGAGGTAGCTAAAAACTGGGAAAAGTACATAGGTAGGTTAGGTAGAGTAGGGTAGGTAGAGTAGGGTTGGTAGAGTAGGGTAGGTAGAGTAGGGTAGGTAGAGTAGGGTAGTTAGACTACGGTATGTAGAGTAAGGTAGGTAGTCAAATGACGGGAGCGACGCCGCAGGTAAGAGCTAGTATATAATATGTGCACATGTGCGTATCCCGGTCGGGGATACAAAGGCATTACAATTAATTTCCATTGCGGTAGTTGATAGAACAGGAACTGCATTGCGAAGCGTGTTCCTAGGAAATTGCTTTCAGCTCCTTGAAACAGTCACAATTCCTTATACATACAAATGTATTGTTTGTAAAGGTTCTGAGCCATCAGGTTGGCATGCCTTTTTTGAGAGGGGGGATTTTATCTTATGACTTCTCCCACCATGATGAGGAGCGGCGATGCATTATTGCTCTTATACCTATACCCATAGAAACCCTGACAGATATACTAATTGCATTATTAATTAGAAAAGGATGAAGAAAGCATCGCTTTCTTTCTACTGCTCCAGGGCGAAGCTGCCCCGCAAATTACGCTTTGAAAGTAATCATTGTATTAATGGTGTTATTTATGTTATTGATATAGTTGTGTTCAATGATGGTGGATTTTTGGATAAATTATAGGATTAGAAAAACGAAAAGATTAATATCCATGCTTGGTTCGTCACGGTAGCACCTAGCTTATTGACGAAAGCTAGCTAGATTGTGATTTTTTTTCTCACCAAGACCTCCCCGATGGCAACCGAAAATTTGACAATCGTCGTAAAGTAAAAATGGAGGTAATAGAATTAAAACCAAATAGTATTTTAATAATTTTATTTTTATCGCATTGCCATGTTTTTTTATTAATCCTCCTCAGAGTATTCGTCGTATACATGAGTAGAATTATCCTCTTTAACGACGCAATACTTTTCTAATAACTTTTTCGTATTCGTTATTATCCATCTGTAAGGTAAAAAGCAAAAATGGTTTTGAAGATAAATATAAATTTTAGTTTGCACAAACAGCTTCTCACGGAAACGCATATCTCCTTCCCGCTCTGTCACGGGTAAAAAATATTTTTGCGTAACATCACGTCACATTTTATATTTTCCTTAACCCCAAAAGGCTACACACTCATAACTTCTTTGGTGTTGATGGTGTCCAAGGGTGGCGCCGATTGCTTACCATCAGGCAATCTGTATAGGTTTGCCTACCCATCCCGCAAAACCCGAAGAGTAAGCTCATGCCATGCTAAATGTAACCAATTTTTTTTCACCAATGTTGTTATAGGTATATTAAATATCTTTTTTATTCTTTTCAAGGGGATTGGGGAATCATCAAATATGACTTCTCGTGCGAAATGACGGGGGGGGGGGGGGGGGGGGGGAGGCGAAAGGGAGTGTCAGACTCTTACCAACTGACTTAAAACCCCTACGTAACTTCTCCTGCTACAATGCACCGGGCGGTCTGGTTTATGTTATAGGTATCACGTAATATACAAGGTAAGTGTATTAACGTACAACATACTGCATTTTGAAAACCGAAACAATCCCCGTAGTTCTTTCATCAACATCAGCCTATAAGTGTCCACTGCTGAGCAAAGGCCTCTTCGCATACAGAGAAGGTTAGAGCATTGATCACCACTCTTGCTCAATGCGGGTTGGCGATTTCAAACTTATAATTGGAAATTATAAGTCCAGGTTTCCTCACGATGTTTACCTTCACCGTATGTCAGTGGTGTCTAAATAATCTTAGAAAGTACATATAACTCGGAAAAAGTCATATTGGTACTTGCCAGGTTTCGAACCCACACCCTCATACATGAGAAGCGGGCTCCTTAACCTCCGGGCCACCACGACATAGTTCTTTACCTAACCGTAGTCTAACCATAAGCGCTTTGTTAATCTAAAGCCGCATCACCCAACAAACGAAGCGGTCAATATACAAAGGTACAGTATACATAACATTTGGGAGATAATAGTGACAGTTATATATGCTTCTTCTTATTTTCTCCAGTTTTTATTTTCTGTTGTAAAGATAATGTTATGACAATTTGAAGATAACATTTCAAGATAAGAAAAATTTGTTACCTAATTTGAACGTGCAAACACTGTATTTTATAGAAAATCCCGTTATTTCATTTTATTTTTATTTAATTTATGTTAGTGTATGGGTAAATGTTGAAGGTCGACATAATATCTATACACTCATACAATCCTTAAAACATTCGAGACGGAATACATTTTAAGGAAAGGAGTAAAAAAATCAGAATTCTCATTTTTTTTGTGTTCGTTAGAAATAGTTAGATAAAGAACTCTAGTAAAATAAATAGTCCAATTAATAGTATGAGTATTAAAAATTACGTTAAAATATTTATCAGCTCCATCATGCCCAAGGCACCTGATAATTACTTTGTGTGGAATGTACCAGCATTAATTATATATTATTGCAAGAACCGGTAGGCACGACAGAAAATTACCTAGGTTATGTCACATATAACAAGTATTCATGTCATAGCATTCCAGTTTTATAAGTTTTTATTACAAATGAACATGCGAATCACTAGATGGTTGACGATGAACGATGATAATGAATCGGCGCTGCCCAAGAACATTCAGGGCCGTAGACGAGTTGCAATTGCGTTGGAAATATTTTAGGAATGTGTAGTTTCTTGAGAATTAGGAATGGGTAGTTGGATCGATTTGACAATTAAACCCGAGTCGCTATAATGTCGCGACACGACCTCACGAACAAACCCTGATTCCGCGAAAAGACAATATGCTCTACTACTACGTCAATATGAGATAATTGAATGCCACGAAAAAGGAAAAAAATAAGGATTTTTACCCTTGATAATGCAAGTGAATTTGCTGGCACATTTTAGTGTAAAATACCTGCTGAAGTAGGAGATATTGCTTAAGATGGCGATGTGTGGCTCCACAGCACTGGTGCCACCGTAGGATAGCATCCCGACGACCACTTTTTTCTCAAAAACGGCCGGCCCTCCATTGTCGCTTAAACGACGGTTCTGTAAATACTACATAATTTAAACCTTGACCTGACCTGGACTAGAACTTATAAATATAAAATATGTAGTACCTGGGTGACTTCAGCTCGGAATCCCTTTTTTTTAGAAAATGACTTTATCTACAAAACTATATACAAATCTTTGGAGCCGTTTCCTAGACCTATTAAACATAGGTGCTAGATTACCGGAGAAGTAAAAAATGACAAAAACGAAAGTAGGTATAAACTGCACTTATCTATAGTCAGAATTTTAATTCGATTCCTGATTTGACATGACCTATTGTCATTTTGTGAAATAATGATACCACATATAACAGTGTAGTGATGAACACAAAAATCGATAAAAAATCAGTGAATCAGTTTCAGGAAGGCATTCAAAAAATTACGGCTACCGAATGGTCTAAATGTGTATCCCATGTTGTCAAAGAAGAGGAAAAAATAAGTAAGCTAGATATGTTTATTGACAATAAATATCACAGACACAATTCATAATAAATGTTACAGAAAGTAACAACGATAGCGATAGCGATGATGGCGACAATTTATAAATTTTTTGTTTTATTTGTCATGTTCCTTCATGATCACATTTTTTATTAATTTCACACACAATTACAAAATAAAAGTCTCAGATCGTTAATTAATGGTGAAATCTAAATTATCGGTTCAGATATATTTTATTTCCTGATAAACTTAGTTTACGAGAGTAAATTTATAAACGAGAGGAATCGATTCAGAAATATTCGATTTCCACATCGAATAATTTCGCAACGTCACTATTTATTGCGTGTCATAACGTTGCAACACTGAAATTGTCAAATCTGGAATGGAATTAAAATTCCGAGTATAGTAAGCTTTTAATAATCAAAGCGGTCAGTTATATTTGTTATCCGAACTACGACATCAAAAAAACGCTCTATTAACATTATTATAGACATTTAATAATCGTTATATTCAATTTAAAATAATGCAGACAGAAACAAAAAAAAAGAAGAGTCTACAATATATGAGAAGAATACATAATACATAATACAATATACTGTGTTTATTGTGCTTTCTTTAGGACAACATCATGTACCTATCTACATGATATACCTATATATATGATTAATCAGAGTCGACCTTTCTCTGCGAAAAACCTTGGCTGTATTGTTTTGGTAAGGTCAGACTTCTTGTAGTAATTTAGTTGTATGGTCGCTTTGTCTTTTATCTGTTAATATTGTACCAACTAAATAAGATTTAAAGACGAAAGAGACAAAATATATTTAGTTATTCGGTTTCAGATATGTGTAAGACCTTTGTTTAGTCTTTTTACTAATACTGTTTCGTCTACTAGCTAGAATTTGATATGAAGAACTTGAACGCTAAGTTAATCGTTAAGGGTAACTGTTAGACAACGTCATTTTGATTTTGTGATGATACATTTTTGTTTTTTTTTTGTTCGATTCGTTCTCGTTTGATGCCAATTAGTCATGGATTGAAATTGAAAGCAAAAGTTCATAAAGAGTTTTCTAACCTTTACAAACTGAGAAGAAATATATTGTACGGTGCAACCGCACAGTGTTATTTTAGCACTATTAGCAATATTGAATTGTATTAATTTCCATAAGTACATAATTATTGTACTTTCAGTTCACGCTAAACTCCGTATCGGTTCGCACGTCATTTATCATAACTTTAATTAAAAACGGTTAAAACGGTCTATCAAATCTTTAATTCTAAGTTAAACTCCAAATCTACTTTGATTTAAATATCTATCTAATATTAAATAAATACTTATCATCTATCAAAAGATGTACGGTGAGAACGGTACATCTTTTTGGTACGTCGAGCTCCTGCTCGGATCAATCAGTGACTTCAAAAGTAACAATATAGTGTACAACATTCTATCAAAAACTGTATCAGTTCTATATGTATTATACGACAGACGAAAGGGGAAAGGGGGGAGGCTTAAAGGATTTCGTATGGTATTCTGCCTCTTAAAATCACAGAATATATGCAACATATTGCCAAAGATATGCAAACAATTTATTAGATTTTATACGATTGTAAACTGCAGTGTAATTTCTCTCCTTCATTTTAGTGTCGTCTTGGCCAGTATCCAAGTTCCGTTCATTCTGAGGTATCATTCAAGAGCTTGGCAAATGTATCTCGCTGTTATTTCTTTTATAATGTCTTCCATGATTTAGCATGTTTTGATAAATGCAGTATTTCCAAAGATATTTCAGATGCTTATAAATAATTGAAACAATGTAAATTTAGCATATTTTTTTTAACTTTTCTCGTAAATTTAAGGGTACCTAAACAATTAAATATGAATGTAATTTTTATGACGATGGAGTTTTTTATTTCTATTTTTTTGTATAAAAACTATCACAGGACACAGAAGTAACTAGAATACCTAGTAAAGCTTCTCTCGGTTAGGTCGTTATATTCACTCAATAATACTTAAAACTATTTTTTTGCAATCTTGTACCTAAAAGACTCTAGAACTGAACTGACTGTGAAATATTCCGGCTCTTAAAAACAAGTACTTACCGCTGGATATTTGGCACAGAAATTTGATGGGGATAAAAGGTGTTTATAGTACTTTGCACATTCGGTTTTTTCTATAACAACCATTTGTGTCCATATCAACTCGTTCAGGTATGTCTGAGGCAAGTTCTGGAATTATGAGGAAAAGTTAAGCTGATTAAATGATCAAAACCAGTAAGGGAAGACTCCTAATCTGATTATAGAAGCTATTGTGAGATTGCGATTCGGACAAGGGGTCAGTAGAATTAGAATTTGATGTCGAAAATTCACCGTATGAAATAACTTCTCGCTTCTGTGAGTGTCACATTCTTACTGACTAAAAACATCAAGAGAAGAGACGGCCTTCTCTTGTTCCAGGCCTAAGGGTGCAGTTCCATTGAGGCGGAGCGGAGAAGAGCTGTGCCGCGATTCACCAACCACATGGCTTGAAATCCAGATCTACATCTAGAGATGGAACTACACCCTAAGCCGCGGTCCATTCTCAACTGCTTCCTATTTTAGCCTGGACTTGAAACTCTCTGAACTCTGGGTTGAAAAAAACGAATAAAAATTAAAAGAAAATTTACTCTACGACTACTACTAGTCCCTTATTTTTTAAGCGTTTAAATTCTTTCTCTTTTTTTATTTCATACTTATTTACTAGTATATTCAAAAGAACTATTAGACTTTACAAGAAGAGGTTGTAGTAAACTATAGTAATCATACCTAACCTAGCAGAAGGGTAGATACCCTCGACACGCAATGTATATAATGGTATGCAAATATTTGCTCCAAATACAGGTAAATGACGTCACGCTTCTCAAGTGATTTCCAAGAGAAAAAGTTCGTGTATATGGTAAGGTATGGTAAGACCTACTTTAAAGATAGGTTCAGATAAAATGTCAACGCTATCAAACTCAACAAAATCCAGTTACATAGATAATTATTTTAGTAATCTGTGTATTATCTATTCAAGCTCCTCAGACAAGAAGTCTCCCTTGGCAATGTAACTATATGTGAAAGTTATCGAAGTTATTATATATTAACGCGAAATAGAGCCCCAGTGACTGATTAATATTTGATTGGTGGGGTCAACGACACGCTGTTGTTTTTGTACCTATTAAACGAAAACACACAAATCACACATTAGAAACGCGCCATCTATTGGTTTATGGTCGTATTTATTCGTATGCAAGGTTTGAATGGTGTAGATTAACTTATTACTTGTATTGTAGAGCCCTTTTAGCAAGCGAAGTTGCCGTCTACGTTATTAATTCATAGTTAACAAGACAGATGGCGTTACCCTTCGGTACTTTCAGTAAGAGTATGCATAGAAAAGAAGTCACGATTAACTCTAAGAATATTGTCGGCTTATTTTAACCCTTGTTATAAGATATATACCGTAAGCTTAATTAAATAAGAACTATATTACTCACAGTGTGGCCCCAGCCTGACACTTCGATGGTGATATCAGTTCGTAAAGCTTTATCACCTTCCATAAGCACAGCCTTTTTTACACGAGGGCTGAAATCGACATTTTCCTGTAAACCGAATAATAAGGGACAATTACATTTAGAAAACTCTTTGTTAGTCTTGTTCTTTAAGTTGTCTAGTCTTGTCTTAGTAACATTCGCTTCTTTGGTTTAACCAAACCAAAGAATGGTACGATTGGTTGGTTTGGTTTAAAAAAAACGTTACCGCACACTAGGATTTTCTTCTGTGTCATGGGTGAATTAACAAACATACAATTTCACATACACATCACACCCAGACCCGGAATATCAATTCTTGGATCACACAAAGAGTTGTTCCGTGCGGGAATAACACCCACGACACGTTGCGCTGCAGCCAGTTGCCTAGCCGCCGCGCCAGCGTGTAGATAAGCGATGTATCGCGACCCAGCTGGTTGCAGCAGTCAACGAGGAACGGGGTGGGTTAGTCGGTACGAGTAAGAGAGAAAGATTTCTTGAAGTAGGTAAGATAATTCTTGGTTTTCTGTCTGTTACTGTACCTATTGAATAAAACTAAAAATAAAATAAAATAAAATGAGCGATCTTTTGTAATGGAAAATGTTTGTTTTTGTTACATTATTTTACACTTTGTAAAACTATAAAAATTGTTATGAGCAGCTTAGCCGACGGATAACATAAATGAAATTTGAAAAAGAGGGTGTCTGATATTGGTGTTAGGCACGACAGGACATGAGTAATTAACACACCCTGTCTGCTGACACTTTTTACATTTTATTATACCATTGACTTGTAATATTTAGATATTTTTGTATCGGAGTACTTGGTAAATGGTAATACGTATTTTAATACTAAGTGCTTGTAGATCAATTAAGCTTACTGCCAATCTGGTGAAAGCAGTTACCGTAAATTAACAATTTAGCAACATCAGAGCCGTCACTTGTAAAATAATATATGTTAGTGTGATGTTTTTTTGTTAAGTCTCCGCTCGAAGAATTATGTCAAACACGTATATTTTTTTTATTAAAACGTCAAAGATGTTTAAAAATATATTGATTTGAAATATCATTTGGTGTCACGATTTTTACATTATTTTTATTCTGAGCGGTGACCTAGCTATTTTCCACACCTTCTCATACGATAAAATTACGTGTCTAATATTTTAAAAAATCTCACTGATAAGGTTTTTAAATGTTTATAATCTGGTATCATCCCTATTGAGTGAGTTTTGGTGGAAAAGAGTTTGTAGGTATGTATGATGTATCGATAGATGGTTGGATGAATGGATTGATGTTTGTAAATCTTTCACGTAGAAACTACTGAACCGGTCTGAATAAAATTTGGCATGGATATAGTCTGGAATAACACTTAGTTTTAGTAACTTTTTGCCCTGGTACTGCGGGCAAAGCTGCTGGCAGAAACTTGTCTTATAAACATTTTACTGGCTGGAACATGGATCAGAAGTCAATTTAGTGAAAATATGAAATTATGACTACAAAATTATCGATGGTATCAAACTTCTTGGAATTATGAAATGAAAACCTACCAAATCTAAAGTCAAACAAATTCATCCTATAAATTAACCATGATTATTACGCTACATTACAACGGCCTCCCGCGAGACCTGGTCGCACCGACCGATCCATCGGACGCCGCGTGAGTCTCCCGCCCGCCCGCGTCATGCCGGCTGGTAGAGACTCCGCCCACACCGGACTCGACGCTGCTCGCCGGGCTCGCCCAGGCTCGAGCGCGGCTCCTAGCGGCGCCAACCACTGGACACGACCGCGCGCCGTCAACAGCTTGCTGCTCGCCGGGCTTGCCCAGGCTCGAGCGCGGCTCATGACGGCGCCATCTACAGTACACGACCACATCGGGCCCCGCAAGAGGCCCGACTACCCCAAGGACCTCGCCTGCTGTTGCAGGCAGCGAGCGATACCGCCGAGACAGGCTGCCAGCCTGAATCGCGCGACCTCACGCCCCCTGCCGGTGATGGTGAGAAGACCCGAACGTGCTACATTACAAGGTTGAAGTATTTAGAAGAACGAACAACTAATTTCTTACTCCGAAGAATAAGAAATGCACATACAATGTAGTGTAGTTGTTCTAATACATATTGCAGGTGAAAAACTACACTTTCCATTATTAATTAAATGCATTCCATTCCATCCTAGTGTTCCAACGGTTATTGCTAGCCATAAAACTCATAAGGTCAAAGACCTCTGATATAAGGGGCTTGTGCATTTGCAGTGCCAGCTGCAAAAGTTTTCGATTTCTTCGTTTTATTATTCGAATATGAATTTTCGTTGTTCGGTTTTAGAGCTTCTTTTTATTTGTTTGTGAAGTAACAGGCCGGTAAAGTTCGTCTTTTGACGTATGTATAGGTATATTCGTTTTTTAATCCAATATTTTTCTTGACTAGATGCTATTTGCTACCTACTTTTCGTACTTATATTGTTTATAGTATGCTGAGAAAGTGATCAGACTGTTATTTCCAAGAACATGGATTTTGGAGGTTAACTACTAGAGACTGGCTCAACCATTCTTTACGTAATAATCCAATGAGCCAGTACGACTGCCATAAGTCCAAACCTATTTAATTTCATAAACTTACTTCTTTAAGTACCTGTAGTGTTTTAGATACACTTATATTATTCAGTTGAAAAGCTTGTTTGCTTTCTTAAACGCTCTAATATCCGAAACTACTGGTACGAATTGAACAGTTAAATTATTTTTATTTAGTCCACATATCGACACTTAAATCATTATTATCTTAGTTAGAACATTACTTTATCGACAATAACTAAAGTCTATAAAACATTACGCTACGATCAGTAGGCACCGAGCAGCGATTGAAACCGCATGAGAACTTAGCTAGTTTATACATATACCTAATAATAATATCTTTGACATGTAAATATAATATAGTGAATGCCATGTCTATAAATAAAATAGGAACATTATCATTACACGGCGCACAGGTGAAGGTACTGTCTTTCAATCTAATTTAATCCTTTAAGAACCACTTACGAATCCCCCGGGTAAACTGAGAGATGTCAAGGAGCAACTATGTGGCACGAGAAGCCGATACATTGTTGTGGGATAATAGGACATAATACATACGTGATTAGGTTAGAATTTGTAATATACCTAATCTGGTGTTATATGTACCTACGAGGAATTAATTTAGTATATATACAAATGTATGTACTTACATACATTTATAGATATACACGTTCTATTCACCACCCACTTTTGTCATGAGTTCTATGAATCAAAATCAAAAATGCTAAGCTTAATGGTTATGCACTGACCAATCATACGACACTTTTCTGTGTAAAAAATATCGTATGATACTTATATTCACTTATTTCTTCTTCACACAATTTGCACTGCAAATGGCGGATTTAATTACATAAGGCATTCTCTAAGGATTTTTTCTCAACCAAACGGTGGTGAAGATAAAATATAAATTAAACGGTTGGTTTGAAGCCAGGACACTCTCAGAGATAATATAAATAAATAAGTAAATATCAATTGATTTAAATTTTTTTCGAATCAAGATTTTTTCATGCTGAGAAAAACTTGATTAACAGCGGAACTTTTATTCGTGTGTGCAGCGCGGGTCGCCGCCACACGCAGCCATATGTAAAAAAATTGTTATTATGTTGTCGGGACATCCTGGCCGTTCTAGAATGTTCCCTATGAAGGCTAATACTTTACTTACAACTGTTGTCCTAGTCGTTAATTTGATTAGTTCTAGTTTTAATTTTTATATATTTTGTCTGTATAAACGCATAATTTTAGGAATGTTGGTTAGCTCGTAACTGGCTAATGTATAACACCTACTTACTGCCTATAACCAATACTTTTAACAACTTTTTATTATAATAAATAAATATAAACAAGCCTAAAAATAAGAGTGATTATTTACCTAAACCCATTTTATTGTTCTAGATAAATAAATAGGCTTTCAAGGTCTGTAAAAGAATAATAGAATATCCTTAAATTCAGGGATCACGTACACATTTATTGGTTTATCATCGAAAGAAGGTTCCTTATGTAACCGGCCGTATTACTTACAATGGTACGGTGACGATATAAATATATTATGAACCTTGTCTTGTCTTTCTTTGCTATGATTTTGCCCTCTAGTTAATCGGGTTCATCGACATTGTTTTACAAAAAAAATAGACTTTTACACAGATTACTGTTGTTGAGAAATTAAAAAAAAAAACGTCTTTTTGTTTTGTTACCTGTTCTGCGGTTCACCTGGTATATATACCTGTATAAGTTGAATTATAAATTAAGTCTGCTTAACGAGCGAAATTTTGCGAATAGTTAAAATGGATATAACAATAAAATTGTTACGACGACTGTCTTGCTTGTTGTCAAGTATTATTGAGAGTGTTTATCATAGAATCGATTTGCAATATTAGTTTAGTCGATTTTATCGATAAAAGTGATTTGAAAACCATCCAAAGACCCTTACTTACAGATTAGAAAATCCCACGTTTCTTTTCCTGCTCTGGGCCGAGGTCGCGGTGCCTCATTGCGCTTGTCCCGCAACCCTGGCTGAACATTAGCTATATAGGGACCCGTCTGTGGTGGTCTATTAGCTCTTTGAGGCGCGCGCGGAACGTCACATGCCGTTCGCTCGGGTCTGGTTCTGGTCGGGCGGCGTTTACCCTTATTCGCCTCACGCAGACCCGCGAATGTTATCTTAGGTTTTTTTAGGGAATATCACCGATTGCCATCTCCCACCTTCATCTAACTCTTGCTCAGTGTCGGGTTGCGGTATTACATTGCGTTTGACCCATTTTTATCATTGGAAAATCGTTTAATAGGTTTTTTTCGCCCATTCGGAGTTTCAGACTCATAATTACTGACTAAATCTCGTTGCTTTACCAGCTCCGTGTTGGCCTGCGCTACGTCACTAAAGTGGATCTAATTCTATGTTGATAACATTCCCATATCTATATGTATAAAAATTAATGCCACTTTTCGTAATAATGTTATAACTCAACAATACAATATAATTACCTACGTGGTTAATTTTTATCTTGAATTATTCGTGGAAGTCCAGAAAAGCTTTGTACGTAGAGAAAATATAAAATAATCTTGAAAAGTGTAAATTCGACATCCACGCGGACGGAGCCGCGGGCGCCCGCTAGTTTACTTTCAACTTTTTTGTTAAAATATATTGATAAGTACAATTCCCATATGTATTTTTTTAATATTACAGTTACACGTGCTGTATAAAATATTTAATAAGGTTATTGTAAGTAATTACCTTCAACATTAACAAGGCGATGTCGTTGTCTATCTGCGTCATGTATTTATAATACTCGTGGATCTTTATTTCGATAACTGGTATTATTTGTCTGAAAAATAATAACAGATAATATTATGCCAAGGTCCAATCAGCCGGGGTTGCGGGTTAAGCGTAATGAGTTACCGCGACCTCGGCCCAGAGCAGGAGAAGGAACGGTTTTAGTCAGTAAGACTCTGACACTCTCTCGGAGAGAGTGAGAGAGTAGTCTACTCTGGCCCTGGGCGGAAGAAGTCATTTGATGATTTTCCCATGACAAAAAAAGGTCCAATATTGTGAAACGGTGCATACCAAATAAGAAGTCAACATCTCTGGATTGGCTGGATCGATTTTGAACTGACTCTTATTGGTAAGTAACTAATGTAATAAAAACCGACTTAGACCACTTTAAGTTTAGAATAAATCGTATGCTTTTATCTCGAAATAATCTAGTGTTCCCGTGCGTATGAGTCACGGTTATAAGCGTATTTAAAATAAAAAAAAACACCAATACCTTCTTATCTTAACCTTTTTTCTAGTCATAGTATTAAATGCTATCTACCTCATGTATTTTAATGAGTATAAGCCAGGTTTTCGACGTAAAATTAAAAGCTATTCATTAAAATCTTAGTGCAGCGCTGACGGGGCTAGTTATAAATAATGTCTTTTAAACTAAGAGTAATACTCGTTGTTCCTCTAGCCATTTTCTTTAGAGACACCTCCACATAGCTTGCTTCATTAGGGATTTTGTATACGTTGTGGTTAGAATAAGGACATTTGAGAGACTATAATTATTACTTTATGAAAATTCAGTCTTATATGTATCTACTTTACGAACGTTGAAAACCACGAAGGTTCATTATGTCTGTACTGATTTTATCAAAATTGGAATAGAAGTTGGAACTCTTGAATGCTTTGTGATTAACCAGCATCAGCTTATAAGTGCCCACTTCTGAGCAAAGGCCTCTTATCACACGGAGAAGGTTTTATTACTCATCATCAGCTCATTTATTGGGGACTTCTAACTTATAATTTTAAGTTCAGGTCACCTTACGATATTTTCTTTCGCCTAAATGAACTTAGAAAGTATCCTGCTAAAGGGGGGATCACTTCATGTTTGAGAAACGGGCGCCTCAACCTCCACAAAATCCAAGTTCGTGATATTGATAATACACTAACATTACACAAACAAACACGAGCATATTGTTGTCTCACGTGTTCGTTTTGGACTCCTGAATCTTCCTTTTTTTTGACGGACGCCATACTTATCTGTTCTGATTCAGGTCGCTACTCCAACTACCCTTACTATGTTCCCTTTGCTCGCCGTCTGGTGGAAACCGCGCTTAAGGTGGTCGGAGATCGTCACGTGATACTCGACGCCCGGATTGTCGCCTACTGGGGCGACAGCCCCTTTTACTTTGCGAGCATTGCATAAAGAGTAAAGGATCTGGTAAGCCATCTCGGCGTCCCAGTTTCTGTAATTCCGCACCATGGCCTAGATTAAGGCCGGACGCCAGGTCGACAGTCTAATCACTTCCCTGGAAGCACGAAGGTGCTTGGCATCACCGTGATGGCGCCCGGTGTGGTCGCATCACTCTCCTAGGAAGGAGAGAGAAGTTTCCTGCTACGGAGTTATACATAAACCTTTCCAAAAAGAAAACTCACCCATGTCCAGTGATGCTATCAACACCGAGTTTGACAACTGGTCTTTTGAATCTGTCAGGAATGAGGCAGCTGGCGACCGTCATCACAACCTTACTCGCCACCAGGGTACCGGAACAATAAAGATTGCTGTACACAATTAAGACGTGGAAGGGAATCTCAGTGATATTGGCAAAGTATTTGTGATGTTCGTTTCTTGTTTCATAAGATTGTACTACGGCATATTCGGGAAGGCGTCGATACGGCGCGACGGCGACGTAGTGTAAAGAATTCAGAAGCCCTGTCAGAAGCAATCTGTGGATCAAATTGGATATGCGATTGGTAAATCTTTTGATAAGAAAAGGTCTTTGTATGTTTGTGTAGACTTTTTCTCTTGTTTTGTGTCAAATCCTTGAGTATGCCTTCTATAATAACACTTACACAATTTTAACATATTCTGGACTAAACAGTCACACACAATAAGGTACGTGTAGAAGAAATCGGCGATGTTTGCATTCCTTCTCATTTTACACTCAAAGCACGTTTCAACTAGTAAACTGATTTAGGACCGTCCTCTTATTTTATAACTGAGTTTTCTAGAAAATTAGGGCGAAGTTTAGCCATTAAGTTCAGGTACTTAATTAAGTACGTCCGTCTAAGTAGCTTGTTACAGCTAGTAACGACGCGCGCCTACCTCCGTAAAAGACAATTAGCTAAGTGAACACGTCCACTTCATTACAATTCACCAACAAAGTTATAATGAAACACTTTTAAGTAAATTTATCGTTTCTACATCCACTCAAAAGGAAATAATACCTACTTACTGGATAGAACCTTCCACGATATTATTCTCTGGAAGCGCTCCTGCCTTAGTGATATTTTAAGTAATTTAAAATTCCAATCGTGGACTCAGCGATGCAAACAGTGTCCTTGTGAAGACGGAAATACCGTAGGTACTCACACAATCATCTCGCTTCAGTGTGAATAGTATGAAAGTTAATTCGAATCCGGCCGCGGGTCCTGCATAATGGAAAATATTTTCAAGAGCCGCTTGTTAGCGTCGAGACTCGAAACTCGAGTAATAAACCCGGAAACAACAATAAACAAAGAGAAATCCAGCGAACCGATAAAGCGTACTCGTATTTGTAAGTAAAATTCGCAATCATAGTTCGTCGAGCCGAATAGCCGATACCAAGTTATTACCGGTTTCGTAAAATAGCGAATGAGTTGCACATAAAAATATACAGCGCACTGAAATGTTTGTTTATTCTTAATACACCGGTTCACAGACGGAACCGTAAAACTAAAGTCATTTCGAAACGCAATCACATTTTTAGTAAACTTTTTAGTTGCTTGACCCGTATTGTAGAAATACATTACCTATATAGTGCAATTTGAAATGTCACATATGTATATTGGTGCGAATTATAAAACGGAGAAAGAAATGTGCCTTTTCTCATTAGAATTCACTACAACGCGAAAATTAGGCTGTTTTATATTCAATAATAACATACGAAAGTTGTTGTTCGAACAATATTTTGTTGCGCCACAAGTTTGGGAAATGAACAATAAAATATTTGGTGGGTTGGTTCGTGTAGAGGCCCATTTGCAAGGGGGTCACGTGCCGTAGGAACTCGCAGAATGGATTTACTTACGGTCCGCGATTGGTACGGGAACTGCCTCAGTTTCGTCAAGTCGACTGTTTTCCTCATTTACCTGTACGGCGCTGAGTCGGAAAGTGAGCTTGCGTGTTGAGGAAAGTGGCCGGATATAGGCGGCGTGTTACCGACTTTGGTTATGTCTCACACCTTTCAAAGATGAAGCAAAATGATACATCTTTTGATGTCAATATATCCAATTCTCTTTTGTGTTACTGTAACTAAGATATTTTCTGAGGGAGATTGAGGTTGCTATAAAATAAGAATATCAGTTAGCCGTGGCGAGTTTTTTACGTGATAGGACGGCCAATGAACAGACGGACTAGCTGATTGATGGTAAGCAATCAGTGTCGCCCATGGACACATCAACGAAGAAGCTACGAGTGCCTTGACAACCTTTTGGGGATTATGGATTTGGAGACTGTGGGATTGGGGGAAGGGAAGGAATAGTGGGTATAACATATTTCTGAACCAATATGGCCGCCATTGTAAGTTGGTATCTTTTTGACCATACATGTTATGTATAATACACACGTACTTATGTACACATAGTGGCTGATCTTTATCACACTATTTCAGATTTCAGATTATCTCTCTGTCTACTTTTAAGATAACGAATAAAATAATCTTACTCTATACACATGAAAGTCTTTGAAATAATCGCATGATACTAATAATAGAAGGCAATATACACTTATCTGAACATACCATCGTATTATAGGCATGAAACTATGACATCAATCTGTTGTGTTAGAAGATTGCCGGCTAAGCTTTCCAGCCCCATAATAATCCGTCTTCAGAGAAGCCTGCACGATGTACGGGATAACGAAATGGCTGCTTCGCTTATCTTACAATCCCATGACTTGAAATTGGTTTATGAGAATTTGATACACAGAGTATACGTTATAAAATGGAATCTGGATTCGTAGCTGGAGTTTGCCAATAATATCTATTAAACAACTGTAAGAAAGGAGTTACTGTTGGGTATCTGTGTTCAAAGGAAGATCTGTTTTAAGAGTATATTCTTTAGTGAGATATTGTTTTATTTAAAACTAGCTTTTGCCTGCGATTCCGTTCGCGTGGTATTGTGACTTACTGCAGATTACTATCCTATGTCCTTTTCCGAGTTTCAAACTACATATGTCTGTACCAAATTTCACAGAAATTGGTTCAGTAGTTTAGGCGTGAAGAAAAAACAAACAGACAGAGTTACTTTCGCATTTATAATATTTATTTATTTATTTGTTTAACACTTTATGTACATACAAAATAATATATACAAAGGCGGACTTAATGCCCGAAGGCATTCTCTACCAGTCAACCTCAAGGGTGATGCAGAGAAGTGTTAATAATAAATAGGATTTAAACAAGCACACAATGATTAAAAAGTACAGGCATGTAAGGCAACATTTACATATAATACAAAAACATAATATATGAATACAATAAATATAACCTACAGATACACATATAACATATAAATAATACATAAATAATATAATTAAATATGGGAAGAATAGATTATGAATATATACAAGAACAAAAACAACAATACACTAATTCTTGGAATCTGTCAGTTTCTTTAGCAAGTAATTCCGAACTTTAAATTTGAAAGATAGCCGACTGGTTGCCGTCCTGATATCCGTGGGCAACGCATTCCACAGCAAAATTGATTGGACAGAAAAAGAATAATGTACAAAGTCAGTCCGGTGCGAGGGACAGTGGAGGAGACGATTATTTGTGGACCGAAGATATTTGCTGTGGTTGGCGCTTACATACTGAAAATAGGGTAATACTGAAAATGGGATAATAATATTAGTATACTATAGAATAGTAGGTATACATTTTGTTTTAAAAAACAAAACTTGACGCTATAACTATTTCTTTTAACTTTGCCCTACACTAGAATTTTCTCCTGTGTCGTGGGTGCGTTTATGAACTTATAAATTTACATGCACGAGCTACCCAGGCCAGAAACAACAATTTGCCGTCAAACAAAGTGTTGTTCGGGCGGGAATCTAACCCGCGACATATTGCACAACAGCTAGTTGCTAGTTACGCCAACCGTGCACTCAAACTTTGGTCAGTTATCATCGAATTTTAGTATATTTATTATTCCCAATTAATAAAATTTTAATAACAATATCGAAATGAACCATGGAATTGTATTAAGGGCCTCACGTTTGCTTCCACCAGACCAGCAAAACAGACAACTTTCTATATTGAAATATTTTCGAGTTTTGATGAATATTTTGTAGCAATCGTAATTAAAATTGTTTCACGTTGGCGTGTAGGTGTTTTTGTTTGTTCAAGAGACCGGGGATTAATTAAAAAAGTTCACGTGCAGTTACACGGCTGATGTTTTATTCACGGACTTTTTAGACATTATTTTACATTTGTTTTGTAAACAAATGAATGACTATGGCTCTTTTTGCGGTACTTATCAACCTGTTAATTACCTTTTTGTGAATTGATCGTATGCTTTATAAAATCATCATCAGCTGGAAGACTTCCACTGCTCTTAGTTCTCCATGTCGAACAAGAATTCGCTACTCACATCCATTGGTTCTCTGAGACTCTGACGAGGTCGTCGGCCCTAGCAGGAGTTTTGTATTGTGAAGGCTCTGAATCGATTCGATCGATTTAACAATCATCTTATCATCATCTTCATCATCAATCGATCTTTAAAATGTTATTCAGATTCTAACGTTAGATAACTACGCTATATTATAGCAATGAAAAAAGTAAGCTGTTTCTTTGTTACATTTTCTATTACACAGTACCATCTTAAACAAATAGTGACCAAGATACCATATCTTATTTATTTATTATTGCTTTTTCTACCAGTCAATCTTTCATCCAAGTAGAGAAATAAGCAAAAATAGGTACAGGAAATATTAGTTTTTGTAAAGACACAGGAAAAAGAGAAATACAAATAAAAGTAACTACTACATACATATATTGCGGTGTATAATGGGTAAAATTGGTGAATGAACTGAAATACGCTTTACTAGTCGACGAGCACGTCACTCATGAATAAGAGTCCTGATTGTAACTTGAAACTAGTAGAGCTCTTCTCAGTTAATTCACGTAAGTCGTTATTTTCAATAAATTTGATGTCTCACAATAGTTACTTTGGGTAAAATTAATAAAAATACAAAATTATCTCTTTAAATTTAAATTAACGCAGTAAGATAAATCTTTGTAGTGGCATGATGGCCATAATGATGATGATGTCAGTATAATAAAGAAATATTTTTTGAAGGTGAAAACAAACTTAATAACGTTATCTTTAAAATAATCTTCAAATTTATTTGAGTTTGAAGTAGGTTTTTTTAAAAAATTATATAGAACTAACAGACAAAGTTCGAGAAGAATAAAAAGTTTTCGAACTTTAAGATTAAAAAGAAATAATAATTATATTTTTCTTGAAATACTTTAAGGCTTTATTCAAGCGTTTTTTAATTGGACGCTTTCCTTGATCCTGCGAAGTTTGTTTCAAATCTTAAAAAGGCAAACGCAAACTTTTGAAATTAACCTTCCGCCACGTAAACGGGTTGTTAAGCCGCCTACCTGGCCGCCTGCCGCCTGAAATTCAGCGATCAAACAAACTGTAAATTTAATGTCGAATCTTTTAAGAATTAAAAAGAAAATGTTGTTTTAATAATTTCAATTTCTCCGTTTTAATCTTCGGCAACCGTTTTAAATTGAATTTATTTGTAATTACTTCGTTTGTGAGTAAATCATTTTGTAATGAATTTTATGAAACTTTGAAACTTTTTATAAATGAGTTACTTATGATTAAAGGTCGGTTACTTGGAGATAAACATTGCCTTAATAATTAAATAGAGTAACATGGGTTTATGGTTTGTTTATGAATAACATAAAACGTTCTTTAGGTGTGTAGGCTGTAGTACTGCGCACTCCTATAAGATAGTTGTTGATGGGCCGTGAGATAGTTTTACGACGGCAGTAAAGTTATTTCTAAGCACACTAGTATATGAAAACCAATATCTTATATATACATATTGTATAAGTGAAATATATATTATTTTCCTTCAGTCCATTTTCCCCAGAGAGAGAGTTTCATTTGTTATGCAAAAACATGGCATTATTCTCTTCCGCATGTCTTAGCCTCAATAAGTCGTTCAAGAATTTGGCAGTGTTGCTACATAAATGATTAAGCTATCTCCATGGACCAATTTATCTAGTTTAAAACGCAATTATTTTAATTACAAAAGTCGTGAATTTTCTCAGCAATAAGGGCTTACGATTACTCAAAATAGACATAGTTTAATATAGTTATTAAATAAGTTAAAGTCTTCTTTGTTCTAGCTACATTTTATTTGAATTTGAATGAGAACTTAATGACTTTTGAAGTATAATCTTGAAGTTAGATCAAATATTTTATTATTGATAAATTATCCTTGACCTTGTTTCTCTACAATGACAGTGGGGTATAAACAAAAAGGGTCGATCGTTACAATATGTTATTGTCAAATACTTTGTTTACACAATGTACTACGAACGAAGGTCCGAGTATAGAGGTCGTACCGCGGCACGCGACATCCGTAGCCTCGTAGCGGCGTAGCTTGCGGCAGTCACGCTACGGCTAGCGACGGCTACAGTCGGTCGCTACGCGTTGCTACGAGTGTTCGCGACCACGTAATGTTGTGGTGTTCGGTCGCGTTGTTGGCTCTGGTCGCCTCCGTTCAAGGACGAGCGGTAAGTATCAGCTTTTAGCTTCTATTCTTATAACTCCTCCTAACTGATGTTACTTTATACCACTTCATTTTAAACTTTCGTGCCGCAGTACCGACTCAAAGTCTCAAAAGAAGAATCATGTCTTATAAGTGTTAGTTTGTTAAGTTAAGTAAAATTTTGCAGTACATATTTTTTATGTGGAAACCTCAAGATGCTTATTCATACTTCGGGAAAAGAAAATTAAACTATTGTAAGACCTTTATGAACTAATATTTGTGTTAACTTTTTGTTATTATTCTGAATATGTTACATTAGTTAACGTCAGATATATTATTTTAATATTACGGAATAACCAGTAAACACCGGATAAAACAAGTTTTGGGTGCAAACAATATTTTTCTACTTATCTACGTTTCGCTACGAAGCAAAAAGTTTGTCAGGGCTCAAAAAAGATAACAAATGAGAAGCGTGCTCGGTGTAAATGAAAAATTCAGTTGAAATAAGTTTTAAGTTATGAGTAGGTGCCGAGGTAATTTTCTATTTGAAATATTGAATATCATTTGTACGAATACTTAATTGTTTTCTAGCTAATACAAAGTATTACCTCAAATATTTTAGTATTTTTATAGTTTTTTTTCACTTTGAGTAGGTACTTTATGTGTTAGGTAATTGTGATTCTAAATGAGATAGATAACATTTTCTTCTACTTTTTCGTTTGATCATATAATATGACGACAGTTGTAAGCAAGATTGATAAATAAAAAAAATCCATTTTACCATAGCTACAAAACTTCCAAATATAAATAAAACAAGCACATTTAATTTGAACATATTTCGGTAAGGAGTGTGCTCATTAAGTAAAATTAACACAACATATAATTATGCATTCATTCCCATTAACCCGTTGGGCGAATCTTCGGTCTTACTCACCCCGGGGGTTAATATCAAGAGGATAGCTCCATATGCGTCATTATGTTCCGAGGGCGAATGTAACGGTCCTAAGTACCATCTTAAACTACTAACGGTTGAATACACAAACAAACCGAAGTTGCTCATTGCCACAGCGTTATCGCGGGACCCCTTTGTGCCTAATGTTCTTGCGTCTTGCAGTGACGTAACGATTACTTTAATGGACGCCATTTTTTATCCAAATTGGGCTATTTGATATAATCTTCGTGTTACACAGGTACTTTGTGAAGTTTGCGCTAGATATAGCTTAAGTTAACACATTGTGATAAGTTGCTGAAAAGTGAAACGTAACATACATCTTTGTTTTCCTCATGATCATAAAAACAAATACCATTCTCAAAACTGGTTTGAACAGGTATGTTATATCAATATAGAAAAAAGAAATGAAATTTTTACACGATACTGACAAACAATTTACAATAATTATTTGTCTTAGAAAAAAGACGAAAGCTTCTTGAGTGGTCCTAGGCACGTCAAATTGGTGCTCTCGAAGTCTAAAAACAAATCTAATTTACTTGAGCAAATAGAAAAATAAAACTGGGAATCAATTGTAAACGTTTCTAAAAAGTTCGAACTGAACACAAATTAAATGTTTCACTTACTTTAGCATTTATGAACAGAATCAAGCAATTTTGCCTTAGCAATTACGAGGATAATAGTAATACGTTTCGTCAATATCAAAAATTATAAAACTGCCATACTTATAACATCTTCACATTTAAAAGTAAAGCGCTTTGCACACGGAGCAACGATTGCAGCAACTGGCAACTAGTTGTTTACATAAATTGTAAATAAAAAAAGGCCTGTGCATACAAAGAAACTAGATTTTTGAGTTCAGGTGTTTGTCGTTCTAGTAGTTGTAGTTTTCTGTTCCTTTAATCGATGATTAAGTTAGTTTATCATTATTTTGAGACTCTTAAAAGTTGATAGTGAACTTAAATTGATCCATTTCCAAAGCCCTCTAAGGATTTTGAGATTCGATTTTCTACGTCGACGTTATTTATTTTCTTTCTTTCGAATCGCTATTGAGTATTGTGATGGTATAATATTTATGTCTAGCGGTCTATTATGCTAGAGATTCGTAAATTGGCTTTTTTGCTATATACATATATGTATAACACATAGGCGCGTCGCGAAATGAAAACTTGTCTTAAATAAGACTGTTTCGTATCGTTGTTCAAATTGTTGTAGATGATAGCATCAGTTTTAGTAGTTTTTTTATTATGAACACTCGGTTTTTTGGCGAAGAAGTTATTGGCTGTATTTCAAAATAGAACCTGAAATTGGGACTCCTCAAATTCAGCAAATTACAGCTCTTGCGGAAACAGTTCCTTGGTGCTGTCGTTATTTTTTATTGTTATACTAATGTAAAATTTTAATAATAACAAATTTCTTTTTTCAATTTTGAATAAAATAAATTCTGTATTTGATTATATAAATTTGCCATTGCTTTGTATTTAAAATAAGAAAACAATTCAATTCCGTTTTCCTTAGTCAATCAGTTTCAAACGCGTTACGGTGTTGAAATGAAAGTAAAACAAGAAACGATCGATATTGTATCAGACAGATATTTTTAAAATTATTTTGTTTTTTATTATTGTTAATGTACGGCAGTTGCGGGCTGATTTACTGTGGTATAATTCTGGTACTTACACTTTTTTTTTGGTAAGGAAAAATCATCACATGACTTCCCTCCTCGCCCAGGATGAGGCGAGAGGGAGTGTCAGACTCTTGCTGACTAAAAACCACTTCATTCCTTCTCCTGCTGCATGTCGAGGCCGCGATATCTTATTGCGCTAGCCTTGCAACGTCGGATAGTTCTAATAAGCTGAATAGTAAAATATCATCGTGACCCGAAAGTTAAGATATTGCATGCCAAGAAAGAGGGAGTGGTTTTGCAACCTGTCAACTACTAATGTAATGAGTGTCGAGTTATATGTAGGTAACGTTATTTAGACACCACTAACTATAGTGAAGGAACATAGTGAGGATTGGACTTATAATTTCTTAGTATAAACTTGAAAGTGTTGACATCATTTTCTTTCGATTATGTATTTCTATCTATTAGTTACTTTTAAGATTTTATTTGTCAGGGGAAAATCATGAAATTTTAATGACGTCTCCCGCCCAGGGTAAGACGAGACAGAGTGTCAAACTCTTACTGACTAAAAAATCCCCGTTCCTTCTCCTGCTCTGGGCCGAGGCCGCGGTGACTCATTGCGTTTTACCCGCAACACCGGCTGAACATCAGCCCCGCTTGTGGTGTTTGAGGCGCGCGCGGAACGCTACGCTCCATACGCTCAGGTCTGGTTCTAGTCGGACGGCAAGCTACCCCTACTCGCCTCGCCTCCGCAGATCCGCGCATACGGTGGCCGGATATCATCTCTCGATCCCGGCGCCCGGATGGTCGCCTACTGCGGCTAGCTGAGGCGTGAGGTGGATAGTTCCCTCACGCGCTCCGCCTCCTTCTTTGCGAGTATCACTACTTCGCAGAAAGAGGAGACGACTATCATTACAAACCATGGCCTTGACTAAAGCCGGGCGCGAGAGGTTGCCGTCGCCGATTACTTCCCCGTGAACACGGGGGTGCTCAGCCCAAGCAGGGCACACCGCCGCGGTCCTCACAATGGCGACACTCGGGCGTTTCCTCCCGAATATTTTTTGGCTACGTCCAATAAAAAACAATGATAGACTATCTAATGTTGTTACGTTGTTTGATTACCCAATGTATTGATAATTTATAATTTCCGTTGTCATCGTTAAATCGACATCGTGTCAGCTACATAAACTCGTCAATGTCGGAAACACGAGTTATTATGTTGATTCGATTTAAATCATCTAATCATCGAAAAGCTTGTTTTAGTATAGTATTTGTAAACACAAGTCATAATCCTGTTAATAAAATAATTTGATAGCGTAATATGGGGTTTACAAATTGGATTTGCAGTGAACTGGGATATAAGCCTCGGGTGATTGTTGACTTCGTCTGCTAGTTGGCGATACTCTCATCTGTTGTCGATTTGTTAATAAATTATATTGAATTCAATTCTAGCTGAGTAGAATAAATTTTTGACTAACAGTACTCGTTTTGCGGGTATTGTTAGAGTCGACTAAGGGACTTTGCTTGGGAGAGACTTTTCAAAGACACGGAGCTCTGAGTTTGTTTTGTCATTTCTTCTTTGAGTAATCAAATAGGATTTTTATAAGTACATATATGTATAATGAAGCATATATGAATGCTTCTCTCGAGCGATTCGCTTGCTGCTCGGCTCAAGCCTAACATGTCAAAAATATTATAGCTATCTATCAGTAAAAGAATTTAGGAAATTTGACCAGCGGTTCCAAAGATTACGCCGACATACAAACTTACAAAGTACAAATTTTATCTCTTTATAATATAAGTATACATTTTGTCGTGTAAAAGTGTATTGCAAACAGTGCAATAAAAATTCATTGTTTCATTGTTTAATTCCAAATTCTAATTCTTAAAAAGTTTTTCACTTTGGTCTCAGTATAGTCGATTTTGCCTATAACATTAACTTGCCAGTAGCTGACCGAGTGCGAGAATTTACATAGTTTGGTTACAGTCATAGTTTTTTCCTGGAATGGTAAAAATGTCTCAATCCACCTTTAAGTGAAAAATAAAACTGTTATCGTAGATAATACAAGTCTATATTTGAAAGAAATCATAGCAATTACACCCGTATACTAAGTTTCGTTGAATTCAAAAGATGATTGCAGGTTGAAAAGGAACTTTCATGTAGGAGAATCCGCAGTCGTTCTGCATAAAATTAGAATCCCGCCATCCCCCTGTATCGGGATGAAAGAGCTATTCAGCGCCTCCTAGTGAGTGAAAGAGCTTAATTTAGGTTTGGATTAAAGATTTTATGTAAAGGCAATGTAGGTATATGTGGGATACGTTATTTAGTATCAGGTTATTTAGCTACGTACGTAAGTAATTTAATTAGAATTTCAGTATGGTTTAAGATTATTCTTAAGTAATCAGAATAAGGTTTCGAAATTGGTTAAGTTATACTTTGGCTTTTTACTTGTTATGTATGTTAGGTATTTTATTAAAGTATAAGTAAACTATATGATACGTTTAGATATTATAGATAGTAATTACTTGGATGTTTATTGGCATTTCTTAAAAATAATTTCAGCAGTTTCCGACAAATATATATAAGACTGAGTTAGTCATTATAATACGTTCATATTAATTGGCATTTCTTGGACATTGATGAGATTATACATACTAGAAGGATAATCCCTTTTGAATATCTATAGCTATTATCATCATCATCATCATCATCATCATCATCATCATCAGCCTGATATCGTCCACTGCTGGACATAGGCCTCCCCACACGTCTATCTCAACGGTCATCGGTTCTTCAACTCTTCAACAGGTGTGATCTGCCCACTGCCACTTCAGTTTGCTAACCCTTTGGGCTATGTCGATAACTTTAGTTCTCTGTCGGATCACCTCGTTTCGAATACGATCCTTCAGAGAGACTCCAAGCATAGCCCTTACCCGAGCGTACGGCGCGTAGCGTTCCGCGCGCGCCTCAAAGAGTCAATAGACCACCACAGACGGGGTCCTGCAGGGCTGATGTTCAGCCGGGGTTGCGGGGTAAGTGCAGTGAGGCACCGCGACCTCGGCCCTGAGCAGGAGAAGGAACAGGGGGGTTTTAGTCAGTAAGGGTCTGACACTCCTTCCCGCCCGGCCCTGGGCGGGTGAAGTCTTTTGATGACTTTCCCCTCACAAAAAACAACATAGCCCTTTCCATAGCTCGATGCGCGACTTTAAATTGGTGGATCAGTCGCAATGTAAGTGTCCACGTCTCGGCTCCATATTATTATATCATCACTGGTAGGACGCACTCATTGAAGACTTTGGTCTTCAGGCTTTGCCGTATCTTGGACGAGAATACCCGACCGAGTTTCCTATATGCTGTCCAGCCAAGCTGTATCCTTCTACAAGCCTCTAGTATCTATAGCTATGGCATATAGAATACACGTTTGTATATAAATTTAAAAAGCCAACATAACAGTAAAAAAGCAAAGCAAAATACCTACACAGTCCATAGTAATAGAATCCTTATTTGTCTGACGCCAACACTCTACCTGTCAAACGGAGCCTCAATGTATTTATAAAGTTGATGATAAAAGACAAAAGATAAGTCGTCAAGGGTCAGAAACACAGAACAAAGTACATTGGTACTCATTGGACATAACAATAGAAAATGAACCATCTTTATTTTTGATACAATGAATGGCTTTGTACCAAAGTAATAAGAACTTTTTGAATTCGTGTCGGGGATTAAGCCTGTCTCTGATGAATATTTTTATTATTAATCATTTTTGTAGGTGGTTGAATTTTTTGTAAAAAATTACCTTTGAAGATTTTTATTTTATTAAGGTAGGTACTAATAGTGGTATGATTGATCTTAGAGTAAGAAGAACTTTATGGTATCCGGTTGTGCTTTCTTTTGTAAATAGTCAAGAGTAAAGAACAATACTTAAGAAGTTGTTAGAGTTAGCTACAAAAAGCAGCCGCCCATACACTCATTACATACTACTAGTACTACATTTGTAATATGGCATACTTTTTTGTGCAACCTTATAAACTAACTCTTCTAGAAAAGAAATTCAATCCTAGACACGAACTCTTGATTCAAAGACCTGAAAAACGTACTTATCGTTCATCATTCGACAATTTAATTGAACTCAGGTATAACTGAACTGAATTGAACAATTTCTACGCATAAACATGGCGGGAAGGAGCGGTTGTTTGAATTACGAAGTCAGATGGACGACTTGAGGATTCAGCATGTTAATTAAGTTATCGGAAACAGCTTGTTCGAGGGCTGCGTTACAAGTTCACTGCGCACGCTCTAACTTCCTCAGAATATCAATTATTGCAATATTCTACGCAGAACGATATTAATATTTCCATTGATTGCGAAAACGAGGCTCTTCCTTTTTACTTTTTAATGATCGGTGACAAAAATAGAACGGGTGAAAGCGAGGGACACATAGCATATTTATAAAAACAAAAAACACGTGGGCCCTTGTCTCCGCTTATTTTAAGCAAATAATGATACCTGTGGACGTTTCACAGATGACTACAGACGAAATTAGCCTTTAAATCTACAAAGGTTTTAAGGAAACAAGTTCCTTTAAGCGGTCAGATTTCACGTCTCATTAAAAAGCGAGGGAATCTTCTAATTTAGAGAGAATAAATGTTAATTTGGGCTAAATAATAGGCACCTAATTTGTAGCTTTAACGGTGCGGACGGTTGGGTGCGGAAATTATCCACAACAAGTCTGAACAAGTACAAATGTAGTTTGGAAAATCCCATCGAAGCATTTGTTTGCGCGGTACGGTAATACTTATTCTCAAACTCTCGAATTATTTTGAACAACGTGCAATAGACAGTGTAATAGAAAAAGTTTACATTCATTTCCACTTATTGTTAATGCAGAGTTTTATTGCACAGACTGTTGCGATGGGGAAAGTTCATTAAAATAGTTCTCATTGCAATTCCGCGCAAATATTGACGCCTTTGTGGAGAAATTGCTTAAGACTATGCAATGCGAATACACGAACTTAGACGTTGTTCAGCTATTGAGTTTTTATGTGGCTGTATTCTGGGTGTATCATTTACAATAGAAAGTTTTGCAGGATTATATTGGCGAAGGGACTGAGATATCGAGTTTTCTTTCTAAAAAGTCAACCATACTGTATTTGTTCGGATAAGATAAATACTTGACGAGTGCAGTGGACAGGCGCTGTGAAAAATGGCTGAGGGGACGACGGGAAAACAAGTCACCAGTTTTTGCTGTGCTCTGTTCAGCCGTGTCCTCAACGTCAGAGATATAAAATGATGCATTGAATGAACGTCTAAAATGTATATTTCTTTGATTTAATGCGCGATTATTAATTGTAAAAAGCGATTTGTATAAAAACAATGGTATAAATAATGTATTTTGTGGTAAGCAGTTGTATTATAGAGAACTACTGTACTGTCTCGCGGTTTCATCCGCTACTCGGCTCCTACTTATTGTAGCGCGATGTTTTATAGCCTATAGCCTTCCTCCATAAATGGACTAATAAACACAAAAAGAATAAAAGAATAATTCAATTCGAACCAGTAGTTCTGGAGATTAGTGCGTTCAAACAAACAAACTTTACAGCTTTATAATATTTAATTAACATATAAGTATGGAGTTAACGAGTAAAATATCATTCTTTAAAATATGCTTCCATACTTCCTAGTATCCCTAAAGAATTTTAAAGGCTTTTCTCATCAAAGAAAAGGTTCCTATGTTCTTATATATATATATGAATGTTTGTTCACAGGTGAATATCAGCAACACATGGGTCCTGCCGGAGGAAGGGTTTCCTGTCTTTTACCGCTACTTCAGGGACCGCATCTCCTGGTACGAGGCTGATGCGGTCTGCCAATTCCATCACGCCAATCTAGTCACAGGTCAGTACAAAATTATTTAGCTTTCATATAACGAATGCGTAATTCTGTTTTTAAGAATGAGATAACCCGGGGCACTTTCAGTTACCAAAGACTAAACAAGTCATAATTTTTCTTTATGAGTCTGACCACCGGTTTCCGAAAGGCCGATTAATGTTTAAATCAATTTAATCTCTTGTCAAGTCATCTGATTGGTTGACTGAAATATCAACAACCAATCAGATGACTTGACAAGAGATTTAACAGGAGATTAGTTAATTCTAGCGTAGACAAGCTTTTCAGAAACCGGGTGTGAAAGAAACAGTTCGAAACTTCATGTTTCACTGAAACGATTTTTTTTTAATTCTTATAAACAAACGACACAACACTATTTTTAACGAAACCGGGAACTCAATGTTGACCCAAACCCAATTGGGCAACAGCCAGAAGCATAAAGATTTAACAGCAATAGATATGCCCATAAAAGTCCAATGTTCAAAGTAATATTCGAATTTGGGTTAATTCCATTCCAACTTCTTATTTAAAAACTTTTTAAAAATAATTTTGTGCACGTCACGAGTGGCCAGCATAGATTAAAATTATGAAAAGTTTAAATGGCTTTCACAAGTTGGTTACTCTCTTAAATAAGGATCCGTGATTATTTTCCATTATAAAAAAAAAAATCTTTTGTTATAGGTAGATACTGTATTGTATAAGTATAATGAGATTATGCAGTACAAATATTTTACAAAAAATAAAGTATAAATTTGGACAGAGTCTGCCAATTAGCAGCGTCAAACAGAGCGCCGAACTGTGCAGACGCCGCAACCATTCCATTAAAACCCTCGAAAAGAAAAATAGTACTTTTGAAACCCTCTTAAAAATCTTAAGAAGCTTATCTTTAGTTAGCACAAAGCTAAGCAGATTCTCATAAAGATAAGCAGATATTAGTACATTGCTTGATAAGTAAAATTCACTAAAGGTTCTCCTATTGTCAGATTTCACGATATCTCTTTGAAATTATCTTTACATTGTTCGTTAAGGATGCCAGTCGTGGATGTACAAAAAGAGCTATATATATTTCAATATTCCCACGGGCCGTTAGGTCTAATCGGCGGCAATCCAGCCAAGACCCCCATTACCGTTGATAGCGCCCTCGACCCTGCGTCTACCGAGATACAACCCCGTCACATATAAATGTACGTGCCGATAAGAAAATGTAAATATACGGCGTGCCGTTTTGTACACAACATTAACTCGTTTAAGAAAGTGTTGACGGTAAGGGATAGGAATACATACCATGTTTAATAAAACATGCACAGAATTATTGTGAAAATCGGAAGTAGAACCCTAATACATAAGCTTAAAAGGATATAAATTCTAAATAAGGAAAAGCGTGTAACAAGATTTTCAGTGATATTTTACTTACGATTCAGATTCAATATCTCGAATCGACTCAGATTCTAAATAAGCTTAATAAGCCTATACAGCATCAAATGTAACGTTCCGTTGAATTAAAACAGGCATTTGTTATTGGAAGTATTTAGTGATATTTATCTGGAGACGCGTCATTATGTTTCCATAAGCGAACTACGTTTAACTTGTAATAGAAACGGCAGTTGAACCGCTTGGTCCCTTCCTGAGACTGATTCCTGCCCCGATTACGTTCGGACCCCCGATTGATAACATTTCAATATCGCTCCCTAAATGAAAACGATAATTTAAAATGTATTTCCATTTCGATTCATTAATTCGCAATCATAATTTTCGATGTTTCGGTAATGAAATGTAAATTGGTCGTTTTATCAGTACTTTATATAGGTATATCGTTTTTCAGTTTTGTTTTCGATGTTCGTTTACCAAGTTATATTTCACCATTAGTGACATGAAAGTTTTGATGGCTCAGAAAGAAATATATAGCTTGTAAGCTGGAGGTTCATTCGCTTATTTTCCTTTGCAAGTCGTAAGAGTAAATGGAGGGAAGCGAGTGACTTAATGGCCCAGTAACATGTTACTACTTCTGCACTTTCTAAACGACACGGCTTCTGTTCACGTCTCAAGAGGTACTAGCGCAGTCAAACGAGGCATGGAGCCGAGGAACCTACTCTGTTTCACATGAAAGAGGGGAAAGAAAATGTGATACATAGACAAATGTGAAGGCATAGCAAATTGAAGTACATCAGTGTAACATTTCAAAGTATTTCAAAGTAATGCTGTTTTGTTTTATAAGAGCTGACGAAATGTCCCCATTATCCAGCCGAGTCTCATTTATACCCTCGAGAGCGCCAGTTGAAAACAAAACAATGCCTACTTATTCGTCTTTGTGCGCTGTGAGTGTGAGGCGCTGAGCCTGTAGGCCTCCTTGGATGTTGTCGAACAAATCCTTTGTAATACAAGACGCTTTTATCCTGAAAATGAAAACTTTAATTAGTTTCAAAATGCCGACTCGAAAGAATTCGTTCTGTTATTTGAAATTCAAGGAGTCTAATTAAAGAGCAGTGTAAAATTAGATTCTTCAGCTCTACTCGACTCCATTGATTAATGAGTAAATATTTTAAGACGATTGTATCTCATATTTAAATGTCAAAATTAACGAGCGTGGTATGTACCGAAGCTATTTGCTTGATAGGCTTTCGAGAAACAGGATGTTTTTTATAGGAAAATATCTTGTTAATCTAAATTAATTGGAACAGAATTAAACAACCAAAGAAGAAGTACTGAAGGTCTCATAATAGGCGGTTAATTAAATCGAAACGTTAATAAAAACTTTTGTCGGTCAGGACGAGAAGCGTAAAAATACTTACAATTGTTAATCATGAATAATTCTTTTAAAAGAAATGTCCGTTCTAGAATTCACCATCTATATTATTCAAGCATCTCGTTAACTTTGAAATATGAAATACATATTTGTGTAAATTGCTACTCCAATATTAAATATTAACTTTTACAATCAGTTTGTTTGGCGAGATTCACTCATATAACTTTTCGTTTGAGGGATTATACAAAGTTTTTAATTACAAAAATATTATGAAAGCATAAATATTTGTTTAAAAAAAACTATCGTCTTATAAATATGTTGTATGACTTTTTATTGGATTGGATAAGATAAGATTTTGATTTATATAAATCTAGATATTTTATTGTAGATAGATTCGTAACAACGATATAAGGCTAAAGTTCATAAAAAACACTTTGAACTTAAAGTTCATTCTACAACGACAGAATACCAAAAGATCTTAATACCGCGATATCGCTAAATTTAGGGTATTTTAATGGTCACCTACTTTACAAAGTCATTCGAATTTGTTTTCAGAATATAACCGTTACTAGGTCTTACTAATCCCCAATTGAATACTGATGTTCTTTTTAAAGTCATCGCCTCGTCGCGTTTTCACCACTCAAAATTGCAAGTGGACACTGGTGTCTAATCTTACCCACTTTATTACGCGAGAATGTATGACAATGGGTGGCACTCATTGCTTACCATCAAGTAATCCCTCTGACCGTTCCGAATAATTTTTATGAAAAAAAAAATTAAATTTATTTGAATTCTAGATTCTGTGATGATTTTATACTTAGTGACGAATGTTAAATTTAATATTCACTTCACTGTGCTATTAGACTTACCATTGAACATATAATGTAGGTGAACGCCACCTAGTACCGACGCCTCGGTCACTTCTCGAAAGTACTTTATACTTTACAGCCTACCTACGTACATTACTCTCAGACGAGCCTACATACATTATTAATGTCCACCGCTGCAATTCTTTACGAGTAAGTGCGACCAAGCCACGTCATGAATATGGAAGCCTAATCTTCGGGAGTAAACAAGAAAATTCTTAGTGAAATAGTTTCCGTCGTTACTATAAGCTTGTTGGGTTAATAATGTCATTATTTAGATTAGATCATGGTGTCGGGATTTGTGGATAGTTTATTTCAGCCATTTATTTTGTCGTTATTATTGTGGTCGCATTGACTTCTAAGCATTTGTAATTTTTCGGTCGGGTAAATGGCCTTGTTGTATTGGTAAGAAAAATTATTGGCAATAAATGTTAAAGCACTTTCATATTTAAGAAGCACTTTAGAGAAATTATCTTAGAAGGAAAACAAATGCATAGGTCAACTGTAAGGAACAATTAGACCTGAGATATTTTAGTGATCGGAAACGCAAAAATGTTTTCAAAATGATTTTGCTGTTGCCGTTTGTCGTTGCCAAATAAACATTATTATAAAACAAAGGTTTCTTCTAATACTCTTTTTTTCATATCTAACAAAACTATTCTTGCATTACCGCATTATTCTTGCATATTCCACTGCACGGTTGGCGCGGTGGCTGGGCAACTGGCTGACGTGCAACCTGTCGCGGGTTCGATTCCCGCACGGAACAAATCTTTGTGTGATCCACAAATTGTTGTCCCAGGTCTGGGTTTGATGTGTATGTAAATTTGTATGTTTGTAAACGCACCCACGACACAGGAGAAAATCCTAGTGTGGGGCAACGTTTTTTAAAAAAAGAAAAGGAAAAAAAAGAAAGAATTGCCTACCTTCAATCTACCCTAGTAAATAGAGCAATTCTGTTGTAGTGCTATACTTATGAAGCGTAAACAACAAGTGCCAAACTTCGGATGAGTTCTAACACACGTCAGAAGATATGCTGGTGTATTGTTCCTGCTACGGAGTTCAGACCGAACGTTATGCTAATTGGAGATAATATCTAGTTACCGAAAAACCTACTCTATTCAAGCAAGATAAGCTTTGTTTTCTGTTATGAATTATTTGGAACTCTTTATACACTGAATACCAATACAAAAATGTTATTGATGACTATGAATATGAAGCCAAATCAATTTTCAATATTCAGCTATGTTACGCGTGTATGCGTTAACCGAAATATATTTTCACATTTACGAACATGATAAATGGAAACAGGAAATAAAGGATTTTATTTCACCGGTATGGTTATACCAGTCAGCAGTGGACGACAGTTGACCCTGGGCCGTATATCACGCCAGAACATCGAC